ATTCGCCGGGCCGAAGAGGAGTAGAACCATCAGATTTGTGTGTAGATTGCTTGCAAATTGGATGAGCTAGATGTCTTTTATTATGGTGGTGATGGTGGTGCCAAAATTCCATTGTGGGGTCGATTCCGCTGTTGGGTCCACACGTCTAATCCGTACGTCTCCCCACGACAAACCCTAACCCTAATTATAGCACCTGTGAGCTCCTGTCTCGACTCCTGGCGGGAGCTGACTCTTGGCAAGGAGCTCCATTGCTGCTGTCGTCGTCGCAGCGCCATGTCCATCAAGCTCGCAGCCAACGCAACGAAGCCGCCTCACCACCTTTAGCGACAGACCACAGTAACCACCGCACCTCCTTTTTTATTTCGATTCAACCCGAGCTTCCGAAGATTGCCTGGTTCCAACAGTCGTTATCCCATTGAACTGCCCAGCCACAGCTGATCAATACTCTGTTCCGCCCGCAACGTAACGAGAGGAGAGCAGCAAGCAGTCAAGTCCGACACAATGGCCTTCCTAATTCTCGTCATCGGCGACTTGCATATACCCGACCGTGCGCTTGACATCCCCGCCAAGGTACGTCTTACCCAACCCACATCCTGCACACCCATCTTCAACTGGGTCGCCCTCACTAACCCTCCCCGTCCCCCCGTCACAGTTCAAGAAGCTCCTCTCCCCAGGCAAAATTGCCCAGACGCTCTGCCTCGGCAACCTTACGGACCGGACGACGTACGACTACCTGCGCAGCATATCGCCCGACCTCAAGCTGGTGCGGGGGCGCATGGACGTGGAGGCGGCCTCGCTGCCGCTGACGCAGGTGGTCACGCACGGGTCGGTGCGGATCGGGTTTTTAGAGGGCTTCACGCTGGTCAGCGACGAGCCGGACGTGCTGCTCGCCGAAGCGAACCGGCTGGACGTGGACGTGCTGTGCTGGAGCGGCGGCACGCACCGGTTCGAATGCTTCGAGTACATGGACAAGTTCTTTGTGAACCCGGGGAGTGCGACGGGCGCGTTTACGGCGGATTGGGCTGGAAAAGGGGACGGGGAGGGGAACGAGGTGGTGCCGAGTTTTTGCTTGATGGACGTGAGTTTCTCCCCGTCGCGGACAGGACAAGATGGTTGGGGGATGGAAGAGGCTATTTCGCTAACGTGGGGATAGGTCCAAGGGATTTCTCTGACGTTATACGTATACCAGCTGAGAAAAGGGGAAAATGGGGCCGAGAATGTCGCGGTTGAGAAGGTCACATACACCAAACCCGTCGAGCCGACGGGATCGTCATGACGGGCACGCCCTGCCATTCGGGACCAGAACCAAGCTAGGGGGGAGACATGACTCATTTAGAGGTTCCGCATGGACGGAAACCACGATACCGACATGGGCAAGGCGAGACGAGGGATCGGTAACGGCGCCCTCTAACTTCGCTTCAGGCGGGGAAACAAGGAGCGGACGAAGGTGCGGGCAGCGTTGGCCAGGTTCAAGCCAGCAGGATGCATGAGATGGTGTGCGGCTTTAGCAAGCACATGCGTCGCAGTAAGAGCTAGATCGGGTTTGTTGCGTAAAGGGAGACATAGCAGCAGTTCATGAACCGAAGCTGGGGAACTGAATCAGATTTCCTCGTGCTATGGTCCGAGCTCACAATAGAGACCAACAATGGGAGCCATCATAGCTGGGGCATCCTCTACTGCTTTGTGCAGTTTACCACCGTTAGGACGGAGTCCATAACTCCACCTTTCATCACTCGAAGCAGCGGAACAAAGAGGAATCTTCACTTGTATGATTAACAAGGTAGTATCGTACCATCAACCTCCACGCTCAGTCAGGACCATAGCGAACGTTAGCCAGAAACAATATGCATTCCCTGCAGCCGCTTCACCACCCCTATATCGTCTGGCGGCATCGAAGCAAACCAACAAGCAAGCTCGCCTTATCCAGCCCGACCCGAACCATATACCCAAACCAGCATCCAAGGGAAACGCCAAACGCTGTGCAGAGAGCGACGCATCGTAACATCATCATCGTCAACCCAAGAAGAAACAACCCAGGAAAACAAACCAAACGACCGAAATAACGACAAAAGAAAACAATCACAGCATCATACTCCTGCGCCTCGTAATCCTCGCATCCTTCCCACTCAACCCACCACCACCACCACCACCCTTCCCGTCAGCAGACGAGGACGCAGACGCAGCACTAGTATCCGCTTCCTCATTCTCATCCGCATACACCGTGGCCGCCGCTGCTGCCACCTCCTCCGATCCATCACCATCATCCAGCATGGAACTCTTCTTGGGCGCTAACATCGATGCCCTCTTTCTTCCCGCGTGCGCAGGTCGTGAAGAAGGCTTGGTATGGTTGTTGTTGTTGATCGTCTTGGCAGCGTGCAGCTCCTCTTCGTCGAGGAGCTCGCGGAGGGCGGCGGCGGCGGCCATGGAGGATTTGCGGGCTGGTCTGCTATTCAGTCTTGAGAACGTCTGCGTGTTGTTATTATTGGTGTTGTTGTTGGATGCGATGGTGGTGCTGGTGGGGTTTAAGATGGTGGTGGGATTTGTCGGTTCGCTGCTTGTATGTAGGGTAGTTGCGTGTTTCGAGGAAAAGGGAGAGGGAGAGGAAGCGGTGAAGGCGTAGATGTCTGCTTCCTGGGGTGGAGAGGTCAATGCGAAACGATTGTCGGTCTTTCCTGTTGGGCTGGTCTTGCGCCGATCGTTATTTTGTTGTGCGGTTGCTTGAGCTTGGGCGGTGAGTACTGGACTCGGTTCCCTGCCTGCGCTGTCTGACCTCTCCAAAGCAATAATAGACTCTCTGCTGCTGGCCACCGCCGACGGCCGTTTCCGCCTCTCTGTGACTCCTGAGCTTGGGAAAGGTTCGGGAAACACTTCTTTTTGCGCCAACGGGCTCGCGAGGGCTTGTTGTTGAGCCTTGGGCGTCGGACCATCCAGGGCGGGTGTTTTGCTGCGGCTCCTGTTTGAGCTTCCCGGTTCTGAGATAGGTTTTCTGCTTGAAGCTGACCCTGAGTGATGGGCCTCTGACTTTGTAGTCGCCGCCGCACGTTGGGCAAACTTGCCTTCTCCAGAAACAGCATCAAACAGCTCTTTGGTCGGCCGCCGCATCTTGTCTCGGAGGTTAGGCTCAGCGTAGCTGATCGCGGGCCGCGCGCGACGGCTAGGCCGTGAAGTCTCGCCAGTGGAGGATATGTCTGCTGGTGGCGGAGTGTCATGAAGCATCTCTTTTTGTGCTGGCCGATCCGGCGTGGTTGGAGAGCTCGGCATGACTGACGGCACAGCGGTATCAGACTCGAGCTCAACGTGCTGAACTGCCGGAGGCTCGACGGTCGGAGCCAGGGCAATGGGTCCTTCTCTTGGAACGGACTCGATAACGCGCTGGGGTGCATTCTTGACTGCCTTGAGCGGTGCGGCCTTCATCACTTTGCGAGGAGAGGACACATCCTCGTTGGTGCTCTTCGCAGCAAGCGGCGTCCTCTTCGTGGCAAGTAGCGGCTTTGTCTGTGCCTTGTTAGGCGCAACACCAGCCAGCTCGGCAAGGCTCTTCCTCTTCTGGCCGCTGCGCGTAGGAAATGCCTTCTCGATGACCACAGCATCCCCTTTCCCTGCCGGTGTCTTGGTGCTGTGAACAATCCCATTCTCATCGCCATATTTCCGTTTTGTGCCTGCCTTTACCGGTTGGGCAGCTGGTGTTGGCGTGGGATTCTTTTCTGCGGATTCTATACTGGGATTGTCGTGCTCAATTACAATCTCGTTCAGCTGATCATTGCGGTCAGGGCACCCAAACTGTTTCGTGCAATGGTCGAGTTTGACAGGCGACGAGATTGTTGGGGGTGTTGGGCTTCTGGGCAGTTCTATCCCGACTACTCTCGAGGGCGATTGCTTCACCGAGTCTTCCTCAACATACCGTGACACGGGCGGCGGCCCCAAATCAGGCGAGTCGCTGATATCCTCGGCCGCGGCGCACAGTGCCAGAATCTCGTCACTGCTGTTGGAATGTTAGCATCACCTTCGCGGGTGGCTGGCAGGGCAAGTGTACTTCATTGTGGCCCGCGGATATGTCTTGTTCTCGTATATCGGAGGTAACCTCCCTTCCTGCTCAGCGAGAGCTTCTGCATCCATTATGGTACGTCGTCTCCTTGCTGGCGGGCTTCTTGCCACGCTTTGCCGGGACTTCGCGAGCATGCGCTCCTCCGACAGGCGTTTTTTTGAAGGCGGCTCTGCCCCTAAGCTTCCAAGCAGCGCGGAAAATTCGGAAAGCTGCAGCTCCAACTTCGCCTTGACCTCGAGCGCATGGTCGGCTATCCTTCTCGCGTGGCTGTCCTCCAGTTGTTTTTCGAGTCGCAGAATCTGGCCGCGGAGGTCTAGGTTCTCCGACAGCAAACGGGCAAGGTCGTTCTCGAGTCGTTTGATCTTCTGCGACTGGTCCGCATTGATTTTCGCAATGTCTCGGTTTTGGCGCAGAAACTTCCTACGCACTGCAGGATTACAGTTAGCGACAAGAATCGAGATCGGCTAGTGGTGAGGTGACGTACGAATCTCGAGATGACTCTCGACCGGCATTGGTGGTTCGTTGAGTCTCGCCATGGCTCATGGTTACGAGGGAACTGGCACGGGGATTTGATCGCGTGGCTTGTCTGGAGCGAGCGCGGTGGACGACGACTTGGTGGATGAATGACAGATGCAAGCAGTCCGGGCTCTGGTTGGATAATTTCGCCGTCCCAAGGACAATGTTTACTTTGCTTCCTAAAGCGGGCTAGCGCGTTTACCTAAGGGTAGCTGTTCTGGGGTCCCGACTGCCTGAGATGTGCAGCAAACAACATGTCCAATTTCCAGGCGCCAAGCATCTGCCCCACCATTTCAATGAGCTCCGAGCGCATCAGAAAGGCTGAAGAATCAAACAGCGCTCTCATATCACTCCGAGCCCGGTTCTCTCGACAGTTCCGCCAAGTTACTCGGTATTTATACATTGATTCTCAGGCACAGCCATGTCTGGATTTCCGTCAAGGCCGTTGGCTTCGCACATGCGGCAGCCCTCGCTCTCTGGCAGCGCCGGAGGTCAGTCTCCTGCTCTGGTTGCACGAGTCAATGAGAAGAAGGCCGAGCTGGAGAATCTCAAGGAGCTTCGCGATCTTAGTGCAGCTGTCGCCACGCAAATGGAGGCCCTCGAGCAGAAGCTTGCCACGCTTTCTGATGGGACGGAAGGTGTGTTAGGGCCTTTGCTGCTGCTCCTGCGTTCGTACTGCATCTGACCTCCTATTTCAGCCATCGCCCTGGTGTTGAGCAATTGGCATAACGTGCTAAGGGCCATCAACATGGCATCGGGTAAGCCTTCCCTTTTTCTGCATAAGATCTGAGCTGAATGGAAGCAGCAAAACTTCCAAAACCTGCTGCTCAGCCCGAAAAAGCAGAGGAGCCGCCTCTTCCTCAGACACTTGTTCGGATCCCAACAGAACATGCTCCTGCACTCCAAGCGCATGCAGAGGGGCAAGCTGAGGAAGAGTCGGGGTGATGCGAAGAGTGATCTTATCGCACCTGCACCAACAGTTGGTTCGAGGCAACTCCGTCACCATCATCATCCCCAGGTGTGGCCATAACTGGACAGCAGGGAAAATTCGGCACTGCCAGACACGAAGCTACACGAGTATGCCCAGTCAATTCCCATCTGGGATGTCCTTGGTCCGAGAAGCAGACGCTTTCTATCAGGGCTGCAATCCGACGACGGGTCCAAGCAGCCTGAGTGCCCTCCTCGAAGCCGAAGCGGGGTATCGTCGAGTCGCGTGTTCCTTGGCCAGCATCCTTGTCCCACGCGACATATTAACCGCCTAACTCTTTTTGGAAGAGACGTCCGGCAAGGAAGGAAAAGAGCACTTGCTTCCATGGATTCGGGTTGGCCGTCTCTCAGGTGGTGGTTCCTGGAGGGAAGTAAGGGATTGGCTCTGGTCAGAAAGTGAGACACAGCACATGCAGCAACGTTGCAACGGAAGCTGCGCGGAGCCGGCAGGCGATGCCTTCTCGGCCGTGGCTGAGACGACGCGGGAAAGTAAACAATGCAATGGTCTTATTTTCCCACAACTGCCGCCTTGGTTGCTGTCCTTGGTTGCTGTCCTTGGTTGCTCACGAACACATATCTGCTTCACCACCGCATTCAATTGCTAACAAGCATCATTGATCTTCATAAGGCTCCCCAGCTTTCCTTCTGACCAAACTCCCCCAGCTCAAATCAACATCCGTCCAGCCTGGGGATCAAACACCCCTCATTCCTTGCGCCGACCAATCGCGTTTTTTATTATCGCGAAATTGCGTTGAAACCCCGGTCTCCTACGTTCCGGGCCGTCGTAACTTGACACCCTAGGCCGGCCTTGGTTTACATGCCAGACACCCCCCTTTGGAATTTAAAGATGGCCGCCAGCGCACGATCTCGGCCGAGGGCTGTCGAGATTCACATCCACGACGACCACTCCCACAAAGAGACGCCTTCGGGGACGGCAACATCGGCTCTTGGCGAACTTCCGCTCAACAACATACACAACCTCAAATCCAGATCCAGCATCGAGTCCTTGGCTCATCGACTGGACAATTTCCACATCTACAGTAGCGACAAGGAGAACAAATCCCGTCTCACGGTTGAACCCGTTTCTCGAGTCCCATCGGCGACACTGAGTGCCAAGGACATTCCCTGCGTTCACCCTCACGACGAAGCCGGTGCTGGCGCAAACGCAATCTCGGTCGTATCAGAGGGTATGCCACCTCGCCGACTCTCACCTCTGGTAGATGCATGTACTAATGCTCCGTAGTCCTTGACGAAAACAACCCGCTTGCCGTAGCCAGTCAGCGGCTCCCCAGCACCAAGGAGCAGCTGTCCAAACACCAGGAAGGTCAGTTTGAGTGGCTGCTTTCGATTCCGGTAAAGTCAGCCGCCAAAGGACGCAGACCGCGCGGCGACTCTCACGACGATGCGGAGCTGCACCATGGCGAAAAGACGCTGTACTTCGGATGCAATCTTGTCCGCCGCCGGACTCAGTCAGGCGGCGTGCTTGAGAACGGCAAGTCAACTGACGTGTATACCTTATTAGCCACTCGTATCAAGGGCGAGGAAGACTTCGCAATGGCCATTGATGCTGAAATCGCGAAGCTGCAGAGCACCACAGCTGATCGACTCTGTCTGAGCGATGCACCGATGGCCGAGCACTACCTAGGCTCGGATATGCTCAAGAGTCCGGGGCTCGTCTTGGACGTCAAGGAGGTCGCCGAAGACTCCGATGGCGATGGCTCGCGGCCGTTGTCTCAAATCGAGGATTCAGGAGAGGCGCTCGAGAAGCTCGAAGAGGAGATTGGGGCCCTCGGCCAGGTGGCACAGCTCGAACAGGTGCTCTCTCCCGAGGCTACCACACGGAACACTAACGGCTCTGGCGCAAAGCCGACGCCCATGAAGGGAGCAACTTCAGGCAGAGCGGGTGCAACCCCGACCAGGGCTAGGACGGTTGAGCGCGCCTCTTCAGTGCACCGGCCCACTTCCACCGGGAATGACGAGAAAACGGCGCCGGGATCTGCCACGTCGTCCGCACGAAAGGTGCCTCGACCCACGAGCCTCCTCCCGCCGAAGCCGCCAGCCAAGTCTAGCAAGGCTCCCACAGTGCCTACTTTTGAGTTGCCGGGCGAGGCCGTGGCTCGTCGATTGAAGGAACAGCGCGAGCAACGCCGCTCCCAGCAGGTCTCGTCGGAGCAAGCCGCCGCCCTGGCGGCCGCCTACTCCCCGTCCAAGCCACATTTCAAATCTACCAAACCGCCCACACGGCCAACCTTTGAGCTTCCCGGTGAGGCCATCTCGCGCAAAAAGCGCGAAGAGCGCGAGGCCAAGCTCCGCGCCCAGGAAGAAGAAGAGCGCAAGCGGCGCGAGTTCAAGGCGCGCCCCATCCGCGCCAGCCTCGTCCCAAACACCATCCCGCGCGAGACACGCACGAGCCTGGTGCGGCAGAAGTCGCGCACAACCGAGGGCTCGTCCGACTCGGCCACGACAACCATCACGCCCGTCTCCAAAAAGCGCCACTCGCTCGTAGGCGCCTCGGGCACTCCAGCAGCAACAACCTCTGCCACCTTCCATTCGCGGGGCCGCAACCCAGACTCCACCAACAACGCCACCGCCACAACGAGCCGCCGCGCCCACTCGACGACTCCGTCGCAGGCTAGTATCCATTCGCGCAGCAGCGGCCGCAGCAAGCAGACGGGGGACGAAGTGGCAGCGGCGTCAGTGCCGCCGCACAAGCCGCTGCGCGGCAAGGAGGTGTATGCCCGGGACAACGCGGTGCGGGAGGAGCGGGAGCGGGAGCGCCGCGAGCGCGAGCAGGCGGCGCGGGTGGCGCGCGAAAAGGCGGCCGAGCGCAGCAGGGAGATGAGCCGGCTGTGGGCGGAGAAGCAGCGGCTCAAGAGGGAGATGGAGATGCGCACGGAGAAGATGGCGGAGCAGGTGCCGGAAAGGGAGCGGGCGTGTTGAGTGTGGAAGGGTCAAGGCCAAGATCAAGTCACGCGGGGAGGTTGAACTCCGCAGTGTTTGAGTTCTGGTTAAGCGGTGGCAGGGAGCATGTTGCCATTGGGCAGGACGGTGTTGTTTTTGGGCGCACGGCAACAGTGTTGTTCGAGGTTATTTCGGCTGATGGTTTGTTTTATCGTTGACTTGTTTGCAGTAGGTGTTATTTGGAGGCGCGCTATTGGATTCCCCTGAATAAAGTGGGGGGGGGGGGATTATGCGCGGGGTGGATATGGCGTCCTCGGTATCGAGCTGTGGTAGTCATTGTTAGTTGCCTCCCAGGTAGGGTAGATGGGTAACAGACAGTATTCTAGTAGCCAGACTGAGGCTTGAAACAGTGGGACATCCGAATTGTTAAACTGGCTTTATTGCCGGAGCTGATGTCGCCGCCATCGATGTGGCCCGAACGGATCAGCACAGTGAATAAGAGGGCTAGGGTATACAGCATCCATCCCGTACTTTAAGACGATTTGACCTTACACAACAAACTATGCACTGCGTAAGCAAGTTGCAAACAGAGCCATCTCAATCAATTGCAATCCAATCTCATGCTGCCCTCCGCAATGTTTGCGGTCAATTTGTGCCCAGACGCATCTTATCAGCTCGGTATTACATGGCAGCCATTTCCTTGGCCGCCTATCCACACGCACCTTCCGAAGCTCAGACCTCTTCAGCCCTCGTGAGCAAACCTGGAGTTGGTGCTTGTCCGAGTTAGAAACACAGTCGCCTGCCCCTCCTGCAGGAGATGAAGTGCATGTCGCGCCTGTCACTGTCCTCTTTGCGCAACATCTGCATTCCGTTCTTTGCCTCGCAGCCTATCGGATACCGATAACCGGCGGCTTTGGGTGTCAGTTGCGACTCTGAGTTAGCATGGCAAGGAACGGGGGATTTAGGTACAAAGGTTAGCCGACCCGCAGTTTAATTCGGGCCAGGATCACACGCTGCAGCGTTCCCTGGTGGAGCTCGGATTGTGCCTTCTCATGTGCTTCGTGACCCAGATAAAGCGCCGGATGCGCCGCCGGTCGGCCCTGACCTTAACATGGTTCTGCGCCATTGTTGTGTTGCTGGTGCTCTGCTTCCATCTCTACGGACACGGGTATGGGCTCGAACGCGGTGGATTGATTGACTCAGTGCTGGACACGGGTAAGCACAAAGCATCGGCGCCGGACGCTGACAACGACAACGCCGATTCAGCGGCTAGGACTCAGGCTGAGATTGCGGCGACAGACATGCCCACTGCAATCAAACCTAGCGGCGCTTCCGCGGCAGAGCCCGCTGTCGTCCTTCGCCAGGGCACCTACGTCGGCACTACACTGCTGGCGTCGCCTCGCTTTCCCAAGTCCATCGAGGCCTTCCGCGGGGTGCCATACGCCCAGGACACTGGCGGCGAGAACCGCTTCCGCCCGCCGCAACCACTGTCGGAGTCCAGGGAAACGTTCGAGGCAGTGTCATGGGGCAAGATATGCCCCAACAACGGCGGCGTGGTACAGCGCAACATGAGCGAAAACTGCCTGAATGCCAACATCTACCGCCCTGCTGGACTTGTCGATAGGCACGGCTATGAGAAGACAAAGGACGGGAAGAGATCGAAGAAGAGACCTCGCCTGCCTGTCATTGTCTACATCCACGGCGGCGGCTTCAACACCGGCCACGGCATCGAGCGCAACATGGCCAGCTTTGCCGCCTGGGCCAAGGCTCCCATGGTTGCTATTAACTTCAACTACCGTGTCGGCCCCCTTGGCTTCCTCCCGTCCGACGTGGCAGCCCGAGCGGGGTTGTTGAACCTGGGGCTGCGGGACCAGCAGATGCTGCTGGAATGGGTGCAGGAAAACATCGAGGCCTTCGGCGGCGATCCCAAGAAGGTGACCATTGTGGGTCTCAGTGCAGGCGCGCATTCGATCGGCCACCACATCATGTACTATTCCCGCTCGTCCACCAAGGCTCCCTTCGTCAAGGCCATCCTCGAGTCCGGCGCTACCACGGCCCGCGCAGTCCTTTACCCGACCCATCCTCGCCACCTCGTCCAATTCCGTGAGTTCCTCGTTGCCGCGGGCGCCGCCGGTGTCCCGGAAGCCGATGTCTTCTCGCACCTTCGTAGGCTCCCGCTTGAGACCATTGTGCGCGCCGCAAAGGTCGTCTGGGACAAGTACGTCAACAGCGTAACCTGGCCCTTCCAGCCCGTTATCGATGGGCCGAATCCCTTTGCAAATTCAAGTCATACACCCCACACCAGACCCTCCTTGATTCCCGACCTTCCCATCAAGTCCTGGCACTCCCGCTCCCATCTCCGCATCCCCATTATCACTGGCTACAACACCAACGAAGGCACCGTCTTCATACCGCCCCGCGCAAACACAGCCGCCGAGTTTCGTGCCTTCTTCCAAGGTCTCATCCCCTCCCTCACCCAGTCCGATCTCGACAAGCTCGAGTCCCTTTACCCGGACCCGGTGTCGCACCCCTCCTCCAGCCCGTACGTGAACGTACCCCGCGGCATGGGCAAGCAGTGGGCGCGCCTCGACGCGGCATACTCGCATTACGCCTACATCTGCCCCGTGCTGCAGACGGCGCATCACATGTCCGCGTCCGGTGTGGCAGACGTGTATGTGTACCGATACGCGGCGACGGCGGCGTTCGGCAGCGCAAACCACGGCGACGAGGCGCCGGTCGTGGCGCACGATATGGAAGAGCTTGGGAACGGCAGGGACGGGCTGCGGGAGGTGGCGGATGCCATGCATGGCAAGTGGGCGAGGTTCGTCAGCAGCGCGTTGAACACGCCCAATAACGAAGACGGCGACGAGGATGGAGATGGGAAGGGGGTGCAATGGCCTGCCTTTGTCTCGCCCTTGGCTGCGGAGGGGCAAAAGAAGGGGTCCGGGAAGATCATGGTGTTTGGCGAGGGGAATGATGAGCGCGGTGGGGGGGAGAATAAGGGTGTGCCGGCTAAGGTGGTGGAGATGACTGAGCGGGAGAAGGAGGCGTGTCGGTTCTGGTGGGAGAGGGTGTGGTTGAGTCAGGGGCTGGGAAAGAGGGCTGGTGTGGTCAAGGCTGAGGCTAGGTTGTAGAACTTACCTGGTGATGATCTGGGTTGGGTTTGGCAGTGTTACTTGCCGCCCGTTTTAGCAAAATAGCTTGAGGTTAGGAGGGGATGGGCATTATGGCGTTAGGAATTTGCGTCGAAAAGTTATGCTCCAGTAGAGTTAGCCACGGGACGGCATGGATTTGGGAGGAGTTAGCTTGATCTTAGGGTACACTTAGGCTTGCTCCGGATGAGTCAGGAAGCACCTTGCAGTACATTTAAGACGACAAGGTAGATGGGACGCGATCATAGTTGCACTCACCTCGCGGCTGGTCTTATATAGCGCTCGAGTGTTATCTTCAAGCTTCGTCTCATCTCTGATCCCTGTCCTTGAAAGCTTGCCTGTGACCTCAGTTCCATGCCCGACTCGAGATATGCTAGTCGTTGTCTGGAACATCTTTGTTATCTTTCTTTAGGAGACCAGCAAGTTAACAGACAGTGCTCTTGATTTTCGCGCCATGCTGTAGCTTCTGAGGTCGATGTTCTACCTGTTTTCTTTTTTGACAACCCCACTCACGTTTCTCTGTGGCATACGCATCTCATGCACCGCCCTTTCAGTTCATGCAACTCTAGTAATGTACGCTGCCCGGTTAACTTTACCTTTACCAAGCGTAAGCAGCCAAGAATACTGCACGCCGGAGTTCCAGAAACCATGCAACATAGGAGCATCAACTCCGCAATAACGGTTGAAAGATACCAGCCAACGCTCAGGCGCTCACTAAACATTTAACCCCTTCCCCAGCACCCCCAACCACAATCTACTTCCCCAGAACCGTGCCCAGCACACTCCCCATCATGCCTCTAACTCGCGCCCTATTCTCCGCGACGCAGGTGAACACGACCGCCGTGCTGGCCGCAAAAGCAAGCGTCTCGCGCCACTGCGCGGCCAGCGCGTACCGGCGGGGGAACAGCGCGGCCAGCGCGCGCGGCGCGACAAACAGCGCCATGTCCTTCCTGCGGCCCGCGTGCTCCAGCAGGATGCTCCACCCGCACAACACGCAGCCCGCGCCGACGCAGAGCCCGCCGTCGATGCGCTGGAAGCGCGAGGCCTGATCGTCGTCGTCGTCGTCGTTGCCGCCGCCCAGCATCGGTAGGCGGGGCCCGAGCCTGTTGCGGGCGAGGCACACGCCGTAGTAAAAGAGGGTTATGAAGGTGGCTAGGAAGGAGGAAGACCGCGCGGCGGAGAGGAGGGCGCGGCGGAGGGCTGGTTGCAGGTTGTTTTTGGTGTTGCTGTAGTTACGGTAGTTACGGTGGTGGTAGCTGCTGCGCGCCGCCAGGACGAGGGACAGCGGGAGGTAGGTTACCATGGCCCATCGGAAGGAGCGGAAGAAGCGAGAGACGGCGTGCAGCTCGCACGACGGGCCACAGCCCATGTGGACCATCTCGCAGGGGAAAGGGATTGTCTTGGCCGGGTCGCCCCATTCGGCCGGCCACCCGTAGTCGGCGCACATACTGCCGAGGAGCGGGGCCTGACCCGTGTCGCGGCCGTAGACGATCTCGCCCTGCCGGCAGCGCTGCAGGGCGGTGATGAGCCGGGGATCGACGGCAGCGGCCGAACCGATCCACTTGTTGTAGGCGCGCGGGAGGCGCGCCGGGAGGTAGATCCACGTCCACATGATGAGACCGCTGGAGAGGGCAAAGACGGCCGGATCGGTGAGGCGCGAGATGGCGGACTCGGCGCGCGTCCAAGTCCCGGCCGCCTGCCGACGGAGCTTGCGGCGGTGCCACAGCTCGCCGCCGATGACGTCCAGCGCCCGCGTCACGGCGAAAAGGGTGAGGTCGAGGGTCCGTCCGGCATAGTGCACTGTTTTGGGGGGGTCATTCGGGCCGAACCCGGACGCTGTGTCGGTGAAACTCGGGGTTTGCTTGGACTGGAGTAGCCGAAGGCTCAGCCAGGCTGCGATGAAGGACGCCAGCCACCTGGAGATTCTGCAGGGGTCATCAGCGGCTGCAGCAAAATCGCTGAAGAAGGGGGTTGGATTTACCTCCTCCGGGCAATGTCGGAGAGGTTCTTTGCCGATCTGCTAAGAAGGACAGCCAAAGGTCGCTGCAACAGTGCGATCCGGGTTAGTCTCATGCAGGCAGGATCACAAACCGCAAGACGTGTGTGGGAGGAATCGCCAAGCTTACTTCGAGCAAGGCGGTGCCGCCAACCAAGGCGGCGCAAAAGGTGGGAAAGCTCTGCCAGTCGAGCGCCCTCATAAGGATACCTCGAAATGCCGCCGAGAAGGGCTCTCCATTTTGGGTGTCGTGTGCCGTGGTCGTCTGTTTGTTCGCCCGTCTCGTGAGCCTGCGGCGGGCGACATGCTGGAGCAACAGGGTCAGCAGTCGGGGCCCGACTGCGTATGCATAGCCCAGCAAGTACGCGCGCACTACGGGGCGCAGGGCAGGGGGAATGCTCCTATCCCATCCTCGGCGTGTTGGTGATGATGAACTTGAGGGCGCCGTATCCATGTGGCGCGGTTGGCTCTGTCAATGATGGTTCGAAGAATATTGTAGCAGTTGGAGCAGCCATATGTTGCCGGCGGTTCTCCAACGAGACGTGTAGGGATGGGAAGGAGTGGTCATTCCACTAGAAAATGATGTCGTCCTGCAGCCACCTTATGATTCATGTATGTGATGAACAGAGGTCGCTTTGATTATCCAGCGCGTCCACTGACGTTGCTGGGTTCTCGGCATGTTAGCCTCGGAAGGCGGCGGCCGGCCCCACGCGGCTTGAATAAAGAAAGGATCTGTCGCTCCCTGGGACTTCCGCGAGGCTCACCACGCATTGAGTTAAGCAACGTAAGTGGATCACTCCAGCCTGAGCTCGACATTGCCGACCGAGCTGCACGATGCAGCAGCAGCGAACCAAGACTCTGGGAAAGCAGCTGACAATGTCGAACATTTGGCAGATTTGTGGGGTGATGAACACCGTTACGCCCGAGCTGGAGCTTGTGAGATCCAATTGCGCAAATTGCAGGGGTCACAGTTTGTGGTTTCGGTTTGGCGCGGCATCAAATTGTGGGGTTATTCCCGACAGCCCCTGTCTGTTAGGCGGCCGGGGGCCATGTGGCTCAATGCAGCATGTGATGCTCCTTTAAGTGGATAATGTTTCTTAGGCTGGGCCTGTGCTGCAATGCATCGAATTAAACCTAGTAAAAGACCTTCATTTGATGCACAACCCACTCGAAATTCCAGGTTGTCGGCAGACCAGAGAAGCCGCTTCCTGCTGACAGCGGAACTCCCAAAGTTGGCCATCTTGGAAGATGACAATGCCCCTGGCACGTTTGCAGTAGGCTTCCTGTAAACTGCATTACCCGCCGTTTCAGCCATGCTTTAAGGTCGAGATTTCCACATTCTTCAGCTTTCGCAGTGCCGCTATCATCGTGCTAGAAATGACGACGGAAACGGTACCTAGTACGGATACTGCACTTAAGTCTCGCCCAAATCTCGCGCGGTCGTTCCAACGAAGAACAGAAAAGGGAAAACACCCACTTGTTCCCGTCCACATATCCACCTCTGACAGACTTGGCCATCCTTGACAATCGATAACCTCCAACGAGGAAGCCTTGTCCCCCGCAAATACTCCACGTTCCGCAACTGGCTCCATGTGGCGTCCGAGTGCCGTTTGCATGCCGCTAGGAGGAACCTGAACCCAGCGTCGTCGTTTCTTCCAACAAAGACAGATGGATCGGCGAGGGAGCACAATGCACGATGCATCAAGCATTGTGCCGGGGGACTGTGAGTCAAGTGCACACCCTGCCATTGCCCTCCTCGCTAACAGAGTCCTGTCCGCCCAGTCAACCTCCTCGATGACGAACTGCCAGTGCCAGGTGGCATCGAGATTTTGGGTGCTCAGGAAAGCCGATACCTCGACGACTTCTTCGCCCATCGCGGCGTGAACGGCCATGGAATCCTTCAGCCTGAAGAAGGCCTGGGCGGTGTTTACACGCCAAACTGGCTCCTGCCGCCCAGCGTCGTCGGTCACAATGTGTCGTATGGATATTGGGACGAGGGCATGGTGGCCAACATGTTCCCTCAAATACTCGGCAATGAGGTCCAGAAGCAGTCTCCCGCCGCCGCGCCGTTGGTCTTTGGGTACCCGGCGCAACCATCCACCACAACAGCGTCTCCCATCCCGCCGCGTCAACCTCCCACGGCTACGCCATCCAACCTGATGATGCCTGACCTGATGACGCCGCAGTCTCCACGACCCCTCCACACTCAGCATGGCTATCTTGATCACCAGGCTACCGACGACGTCATCGCCGCCGCAAGCGTCCTGTCACATGGCAACGGCGCCCACTTTGACATGTTCTACAGCCAAAAGCAACAGAATCAGGCACTTGTTCCTCAGGCGCCGTCATCTGTTCAGTTTCAAGCACCCCCTCCTTCCGCAAATAATGGCATTCAAAGTCGACCTGGTGTCTTCGACGGGATGGCATTCCACGGCACCGCCGCAGGCGACCAGTCCTACAGTCGACGGCCGCCCAGGCGACCTACTGAAATACGATTTGGCTCGGATCCGAACTTTAACAACGAAAAGTTTGTGTCTCAATCGGCCAGGGACACGACCGCGGCCATGGTAGAGGAGCAGTTGGCCGCTCTGCAATGTCTAGAACGGAACGACAGTGCGGCGCCCACTCGAGCCGCCAGTCCCAACACATGGGCGCCGATGTCCCCGAACACGGCGAGGAGGTCTTCGATGGTTTCACCCGTGCAGCTCAAGGCGGAGTCCTACAGTCTCCCAACACCAAATGAACTGACAAATGGCGAAGCCGGTCCCCCGACGAAGCGAAGAAGGAGCAGTAAACCGGTAGAAGAGACGAGGCAGGTGGGACCGAACCAACTAACAGCTCGACTATCCGCCACCGCCGACGAATTACAACCACAACCACAACCGCCACCACCACTGCAATCAAGAAGGATATCAGAACACAAGAGACGCAAGCTACCAGAACCCCTCACCCCCGAAGCCGAAACCATCACAACAGCCGCGGCAACCAAGAAACGACGAAAATCACCCCAAAGCACCACCAACAACGACAACAGGACAACCGGTCCTGGGAACGCTAGCGGCCGACGCAAGTCATCCCAGGCTAAGCCGCCGCGGGAGCCGCTCAACGAGGACCAGAAGCGCGAGAACCACATACGCAGCGAGCAGAAGCGGCGCGGCATCATTAGCCGGGGGTACGACATGCTCTACGAGCTGGTGCCCGTCCTCCGCGAGGGCAGGACACACAAGGCCCACGCCCTGCAGTGTGCGGCTGACTTTATTGAGAGCCTTGCGGCTGGGAACCAGAGGTTGAGGGAGTTGTTGGCGGAGGCCGGGTTGGAGGAGGATGGTTCTGGGTCGGGAGGCAGGGGCCTTCGGTGATGAAGAGTGGATGAAGTTGTTCATCTTGTCTGGTTGGCGGTGAGAGGCGTTTCCGGGTTGAGATCTGGTGGCTATGGTTAACCATCTGCATGGACTTGCGGCGTTGTATTTATGTGTGTCAACAGCCCAGCATTTGTCCTGGGCTATTCCATGGGTTCCCTCTGTTGGGCCATTCCTTGTGGATGGGAAGTTGCCCACCTACTGGATGGCTAGGGCGGGCGAGAAAAAGCCAGATCCTTTGGAATCTCCAGCTAGTCATCCTCAGGGTTTCAACAACGCCCTTTCGTCTAACCGCCAGGTCGTCTAGACCGGACAACACAATGAGTCAGAGACACTTCTCTAGGAGTCTGTGATCTACTTAATGACTCTTCATCGTGCGATGAATGTGTTCCTTTACTGCCCTCCATTTCATCCACTCGCTCTTGGACTACTTTCCCACTATTTGTACTTTGGTTGCCGGAAGGCCAGCGAGTTAGGTATCGGTTCGTTGTCCTGCGAGGGGGGAGCTCTTTACCAAGGCAGCAGTGTTCAACATTGATGCATTAGTCTGGATTCAAGAATCCTCCATACTATGGTACCGCTCATGCGCCGACAATGCAAACCTTGGAATGAACCGGTCACACAGCGCACACCGATCTACATCCCCCTCCGACGTATCAGTATCATTATCCCATGTACCGTCGTCTTCTCCCTCTCCGTCATCCCGCACCACCTCAAGATCGTCATCACCACCATTCCCAGATCTTTCCACCTCCAACCCCGTCGTTGCCTCCCTTCTCCGTTCTCCAAGTCCATCATCACCAGCACCATCATTATCACAGTCATGACTCCTCATCCCGACGGCCTCCGCCACCACCGCCCCGGTGCCGTCGTTTCGCCGATGTACCCCCCGAAACATCTCCCCGATATCTCGTGCCCCAGCGCTACCGGCCCCGACCATGTTGGTGACGCAGACGTTGATCAGCCCGATCCCCCAAGCCTTATTCCGTTGTTCACTTTCACCCCCACCACCACCACTAACACCACCAGCAGCATCCTTTGGTTTAGATGGCTCGACGGGAGGGTTTGGGTTCATTTTCCAAAACAGAGGCAGCAGCGTCTCGTCCACGAGCCGCGTGGCGATTTGTTCCAGAGGCAGGCTGATGTCTAGGGCGAAGCTTGGGAGGGTACAGCTGCGGGAGGTGCGGGCCCAGGCGGATGGGTCGTTGTTTTGTTGGTGGTACTGGTGTTCTGAGAGGGGGATATATTGGCGGGTGGAGAGGCGGAGGGTTTTTGGTTGGGCGAGCCATTTCTTTGCCGTCATCGTTGGGGTTGATTTGCTTGAGGGGTGGCGGTGGTTGTGGTGCTGGTTTGACGTTGGGGGAGGTGGGCTGGTGGTGGTGGTGGTGGTGTCGTCGAGAAGGTCGATGTGCATGCGCCGGAGGAGGGAGGCGGTGATGGCGTGTAGTTCGCGGCGGATCTCGTGAGGTTGAATGCCTTTGTAGGTGTCTTCGATGCTGATTTGGGTGGGCACGTCGCGGGCTGGCTTGACGTCGGCGTCGTCTACGCCGTGGAGGAGGGACCAGACTTTGCTGCCGAGGCCTTTTTCCGCGCCCGGGCCGGACAGGAGGCGCTCGAGGATTGGCGGTGAGATAGACGGGTGCGTGCGGACCTGCCCTACGGTGGTCGAACACTCCATCGAGTGCATGTTTGTGTCTGGTTTTTTTTTGAGAACGAAGCTCTCGAGGATGCTGGTGGTCCGGAAGCCGATCCCTGGCACTCTACGGAGGGGGTGGCTGTCCATGAAACTGAGGATGTCTTCTTCGCCGAGAGCGAGGAGGGTGGTCTGGTTCCGCGGCTTGTTCTTGTCGCCGACCAGCTTGGCTAGCACCTTGTTGGTGGCTATGCCACATGCCGTGGTGTACCCTTCGTCCTCGATCCTCAACCGCAGATACTGGGCGAGGTGAGAGCCCAGCAAAAGCCGCATGTAGAGCAGATTTTCAACATTCTGAACACTTTCTTCTCCGTAGACACACCCCGCAAACGACATAGCATCGTACTCAAAGCCAGCCTCTGGGTCCGTCCGAGACAGACAAAAATAGGACTGGGGCAGGGCATTCCGGTTCAGGAGCTCAACGTTGTATGACACCATGTCCGTGACGTCCATAAATACCTCATCAAGACCGAGGCGCTCGATCTTGCCGTTCCATGAGTAAGACCGGAGCATGGCATACAAGCGCTTGGACACGTCGCGGAAGGGGGAGAGGTCCTCGCCGTCGGCCAGCACGAGGTTCGGGCAGATGATCTTGGCCTCGGCGATCGGCATCAATTTCTTGACGCCATGGCGACGGGCCACGTAGTTGCAAGTGGCGAGGATGCCTTTTTGCTTGATGCCGAGGGGCAGTGTCTTCAGCGACGGCTGCCGGTTCTCGACGCACTGCGAGCAAGAATGAGCGACCGTGTCCACACACAGAGAGACCAACAGATCGCCGCGGAGTGGGACAGTACGTGCCTGGGCATAGAAACAGTCGAGATCCTATAAGATAAACAGTTCACGGTGTCAGACGGGATGTCCTGGGCGGCGTCATGTGGAGCAGGTCGGGGTAGGATGATGCGAGAGAAGGGAGGCTGTACAAAGTGCAGGATGACCCGGTTGTTTTTTCGGCGTGGCGCCTTTTTGCCGGGCGTCGGATCCATTTTTGAGGCAGGATTGGACGCACAATCGCGTCACCCAGACATCGCCGGGACAGTTCTGATGTTTTGTTTACTCGATGCTCTCCGTGTCCAGGTTCGAAAAGATGGCTATCTCGAAACCAAGCTGTCGGGTTTGGGGCCGTGGCATTCTATTTTTAGTTTGTGGAAACATCAGGCGTGGGCAGGGTCTAACGTTTGACCAGCGTTCGGATCCACCAAGTTTAACGCCTGACTAGCAACCCATGACGGGGTCCAAGTCGATGGACTAAAAAAACAAAAAAGGTAAAGAGAAGGAATGCGAGAAGTGAAGAACATCGGATACTGATAGGATCATAAATCATAGTTTCATGGAAAAACTGATATTCTTTAGTTTGCTTAGGTACTTTAGGTTGGCGTAACGCTAACGCGGAAAGTGTTTATACTGGCATCGAATATCTCATGTTTGAATCTGATCAACAGGTTCCATTTCATAGATACTGGGCAGGCGAACGAGCAAGCCAGGTTTTCGGCCGGTTCCGCTAATCAATCTTCTTCTCTCATCCCCTATTCTCGTCAAATGGCAATCTCCGATGATGACCGAAATGCGTCCCTTATGTGGAAGACGCTGCTTGTCTGTGGCGTCGGTGCTGAGTTGACAAATCGGCGCAACCTTGGGTGTCGGATTTTGCATTCACCGCTTCTATTGTCATGAATGGAGTCCAGACTCCGATAGAGTGGGACATTCTGCGGCTCAATTGGCCGGCCTGGGGAAGGCCTTTCGGGAGCCATCCGGGAGGCCATCCGGGAGGCCTTCCATTCATTCCCTTACCTTGGCTTGATCGAGTTCTGGGTGAGTTTGTTGACGAGCGCTTGGTGAACTCAACAAAGGATGACCAAAATCCCGCAGTGCGACAATAAAATCCTTCCAGAACGCCAGGGAATCCTTCAGTTGGTCATGCTCCCAATGTTGGGAGTCAAAAGGTGTGAAAAGAGCCCAACCGAGGAAAACTGGAAGCAGACAAGGCGGGCATCGCGCCTGTTAGCGTGGGCATTGATGTTGGGATCATTGGATGCGCCTGCCAAATCGGGGCTGCTGAAATGCTTGGCGGGAAATAGACGCGCTGTGACTTTTGCGTGCAGGTGGGTCTATGCAGCTTTGGTAGGCTGCCATTGGGCAGGAGAGCGCTTGCGCCTGCAAGCTGCATCGAGTGTGCCGACCACTGACGGGGACCGCTTCCTTCCTGCCAACAGCCAACCACAAGGCCAAGAGTCGAGAAGCGAGGAATTCTTTTTGTGTCACACGCCCCTGGACAGGAAAATGAGGGGATTGCGTGTGCTGTGGCGGGCATTTGGTTCACTCCGCGCTCGACCACCCAAAACGGACTGGCGCTTGCTCTTGTCCACTTTCCGTGCGGGCCCCCAGACTTCAGCAGGGATGCCATCCAATGCCACGCTCAATTCTTAGGCTAGCCGCCCGAGCGGGTGGGTGAGTCGGACACACTGTTCGATCCCTCCAGGACACCCTACCACAGTAAAGCACACATATAGCCGCTGGCCCCCTCGCGAGCCGCCCTCCTCACACTGACGCTCACCCTCTCGCTCTGATCACCATCTCGCCTGCTGGCCTACCGAGGTCGCACGCTCACTCGCCTGCCTCGACGTTCCTAGCTGGCTTAGGGATTGCAGGCGGCCAGCTCTGTATTAACTTCAGTTTAGAGTCCCAGACCTTGTCTGGATTATTATATCCACCCATCTCTCGCCATGCCGACGTCCCCGCAGAGTCCTCCCAAGAGGCCGAGATTGTCTCTCCAGATCAGGGCTTTCGCAAGCGGCCCGAGTGGCCGGACCTCGAGGTGTCTGGCTGCTGCCGCCGACGTCAAGTCGCCGACGGCGTTTAATACCCTCTCTAATGTCTACGCGACTGCCGTCGACCGGTCAACGCCGGTCCAAGAGAACCCGCCAACCGCAATCTTGGGCAAGCGGCCGGTGCTGCGTCTCCAGACACAAGATGTACTCGCAAAGAACTCGGGCAACCACACTCCCTATTTGGGTCCTTACCTCGACACCCCCATCACGGCACAGCCGATTTCCCCAGCCGTAGCCCAGCACATCTGCTTCCCGAGCGCAGCTATGACAGCGACTCCTCCGCTGTCAGCGCAACCGCCGGAGCAGAGCGCTCAGGTGTTTACTTTTGACGGATCGACACCAGCGACCGCCCTGCCGCCGGGGACAACAGCGCCGGTGCCGGCGGCACAGAACCCAAAGAGGCGGACAACCATGCCAGGGACCGCGAAGCTGCCCTACACCCACCAACGCAGCCTGCGCAGCATCCTCCGCAACTCGCCTCTCCCGCCACTGAGTACCAAATCCCCCGAATCCCCGAGGCGGCAGTCCCTTCGCCTCCAGGAGAAAGCAGCTCGCCGCGTAGCCTACAACAGCCCCTTGACGCAAGAAATCACGACGAGCAAGTACACCAAATCGCACATTGATCTCCTGGCCGAGGACGCCACGCCCATCTCGCCTTCAACCTCGTCCTCGGACGACGGCGATTGCCTTCTCGACCAAGCCATGGCCGACGCTAGCAGCTGCGACAACACGCGCGACGGCGGACAGACCCCGGGTCCGTTTGAAGAGATGCGCCGTCGCATGGCGAACATGCACGCTTCGACCCCCTTGACGCTGTCGCCTACGGGAGGCGGCATCCGCAAGCGGGGCGGCAAGCGGCGGGAGAAGAAGCGGCGGTGGGTGTGGACAATTGGGCAGGACGAGGATGCTGAGGACGAGAGCACGACATCTGCGCCGGCGGCACCGGCAACAGCAAAGAAGGACCCGGCTCCATCAGTCCCCGTCCTCGCTGTCCCAGCGCCCAGACCGCGAACACGGAATCAGCAGGCGCAGGCGCAGCTAGCCAAGGCCATCGCCGCAGCGACGGGGATGCAGACCCCGGCGCAGATCACGATCCCGCTCCTCGCTGCGCCCATTCCTCCCGCCCGCGCCACCGCAAGCATGACCAGCGATTCGACTCAACCTCTTACGGAACAACCCCTTCTTCCACAACCCGAGGCTGTGCCGCAGCCAGCCCCACAACAACCCCCATCCCTCCGCCAACACCACCATCAACACCAAGAACAACGACAGACCCGCGAACTCACCCCGATCCCCTCCTCGCTACTCCCAACCCGCCACTCCACCCCCGACTCCACCGCCAGCGGCGCCAACAGCGTCCGCTACCTCACCCCCGAACCCCCAACAGCTGTGCCCATGTCCATGTCCATGTCCATGCATCTCGGCATGGGCATGGAAGCCATGAATATGAATGCCGAGCCGCCCACGCCCAGCGTTGAGTCGACCACCAGCGTACAGAGCAGGGACTCGTCCGGGTTCGGGGACGTGGAGATGTCGGATGCGAGTAGCTTCACTTCTGCCGAGGATGATCGGGAGAGGGAGACGGATGGGGTTGGGAACGGCAATGGCAATGGCAATGGCAATGGCAATGGCATGTGGTATGGGGGGAAGTTGGTGGGGTATGGCGGTCGTGACGGGGACGAGGATGTAGAGATGGATGAGGGCACGCCGACTATGACGGCCCGGCCGGTGGCTGATGGATTTGGAGGGAGGGGGTGGGTGCCTTGGCGGGATGGGGATGTGTCTTTGTCTTGACTTTAGGAAGGTATGGATGGGGACTTGTTTGGACATTGCGTGGAGTTCCGAGAGATACAAGAGGAAGAAGGCATGATACCTGGGTGTTAGGGTACTTTTGTGTTCCTTGTCATGAAACAGGACTGCGATGGACGAAATGATACGATAGAGAGGTGGGTTGGGTATGATCTTAAAGGTGATATGACACAACGGAATTCAAAAAGACAGCATAACGAGCCGAACACTTCCGCGACTTGCTGTGACTGTCATATATGAGAGTACTGCATATATATCTTAGTACGACAACTGCTCGAAACTCTCTCCCGAACTGGGTTCATTGCGCTTTTTGATTCAAGTCTCTAGTATGCTACGGTGCCTGAAATTTGAAGTATTGTTGGTTTAAGGTTCCGGGGTGTTCTCCCCCGCATGTTGAAGTGGGTAACGATCCGTGGCTCCCGGTCGCATTGACAGTCGAGACCAAAACTTGAAGTTACAATGTGTACATCCGTACACAGTATTGCACCATTGGCCGTTTACTCCTGGGCCCTGACGATGTCCAACTTTTGTCCAGCAACCCAACCATCACCTTAATTAAACCAAGACGGTATCCGCACCACTGTCTTGCGACATAGAGGTGCTCTAGGTGGTAGCCCGACCCAACGACGTCATTCGGAGCCGTCACACCGGGTCCCGACCGGGGAAGTGGGACCCCGGGTCGACCACCGACGTCATTGATTCCCGTCGAGAGTCCATCCCCCTGCACGCAAATCAACAAGAACACTTGATTCTCTTTGCTGTCCCCCACGCCATTGGCAGCCACAAAGACAGCTTTGAACCTGCTTGTTCCGTGATCTTTGAGCTACGTAAGACAAGCAGCACCGCATTTGTGTCAAAGTTCTCCTGGAGCTGTTCTCTGTGCATGCCAAATAGGTAGCTCCTGCCTGCCCTCTTGCTTGAAATCCGTTCCTTTCAGTTCGCTGCTTGCTTGCTGCCCTTTACCTACGTTTTGCCGTAATCCTGCAATCCGTCCTCGAGTTCATCTTACCTTCCTCCCCAAGTCGGTAACACTACACCTGCTACAAAACTCTTGTCTTCCCAGCTTCCTTGCTCAGCATCTCATAACGCCCCAAAACTTAGAACTGAAAAGGAAACCCGTCATGAGCGCCGACCACAAAACCTACCCTCCAGGGCAGGAGTACTCCGGCAGGAACCGGGTCCCCAACATCCAGGAATTCGTCGAGTCGCTGGACCGGGACAAAAAAGAGCGCGACGCCCGAATCGATGCCCAGCTGCAGTCCAACAACCAGCATGGTGAGCCGCGCGACCACGCGCTGCCCCAGCAGCGCAAGCCCGGCAAGAACCGGCGCACCGTCCGCGACCCGGTTACTGGCAAGGACGTCGAGATCGAGGATATCGATGACCACCATATGAAGGCGGCCGAGGAGCCCATGGTACGTTCGCCCCCTTGCCCCCCTACAAGGACTACACCACGCTACCTGCCCCCCCCCGGGCCCAACGGCTCACCTATGCACTTTCAACCACAGCAATTGGACTGACATATTCCGTCGCGGTATGGTATCGGCACGCAGATAACAATTCCCAACCCGAACCTCGGCCGTCCCGCAACGCGGGCCACCTCGCCCAAGCAATCGGGCGAAGAATACCGCGTCGCGCAGGACACGACGGCCCCGCCGGACCCCGTGGCCGAGGGCGCGACGTCCGACGTGCCGATCCACGGCGAAAAGACCAACGTGCTCTTCCACCCGACGCCGTCAGTCAGCTACGAGCCCATGTACGCCGCCATCGAGGCGCGCGCCAACGTGCTCTGCATCGCCCTGTTCCTGGCCGTCGTCCTGATGGGCAAGGCCCTGGGCGGGGGCAGTTTTTGGGGCCTGGTGCCGCTCGGCGCGGCGGTCGCGTCCGGGGTATTTCTGTGGGCCAAGGACTTGATCCGGCAGGGCCGGGCGACGGAGTGGAGCGCGGAGCAGAAGCGGGGGGAGACGGCCGTGGTGAACCTGATTCCCGAGTCGGTCGAGTGGCTGAACACGGCGTTGGGGCTGATTTGGGGGCTGATTAACCCGGACATGTTCGCGGCCGTGGCGGACACGTTGGAGGATGTCATGCAGGCGAGCGTGCCCAAAGTGATTGAGCATGTCAAGGTGAATGATATCTCGCAGGGGAGCAATCCGTTGCGGGTCCTGAGTCTGCGCGCGCTGCCGGACTCGCATGTGAAGGAGTTGAAGGAAGAGATTCACAAGAGGGACGCCAAAGTCAAGGATCCGGAGGAGTTAGCAGCTGAGGAGGAAGGGGGCGACTTCTACAACCTCGAGGCGACCATCGCCTATCACTCGCTGCCGTCAACAGGGGATGTGTCGACCAAGGCCAAGAATATGGGCATGCAACTGATATTCTACGTCGGCATCAAGGGCTTGTTTGGCGTACCGTTTCCGATCTGGGTCGAACTGAACAGGCTGGTTGCGACTTGCAGACTGCGAGTTGGCTTGGCGCCGAATCCGCCGTTCGTCAAGACGCTCAGCTTCACCCTGATGGGCCTGCCCAAGGTCGAGGCCAGCTGCGTGCCGATGATGGAGAAGGCCCCCAACATCCTCAACTTGCCCCTCATCTCCAACTTCGTCAACTGGGCCATCGCCACGGCGGCCAGCATGTACGTGGCGCCGAAGTCGATGACGCTCGACATTGGCAAGATGCTGGAAGGCGACACCATCAAGAAGGAGACCAACGCGCTGGGCGTGCTGTTCATCCGGATCCACAAGGCCACAAACCTCAGCAAGCAGGACCAGCGCGGCAAGGTCGGCGGCGGGTCGGACCCGTATATCTGCGTGTCTTTCTCCAAGTTCGGCAAGCCGCAGTACTGCACCCGCGTGATCCAGGACGACCTCAACCCCATCTTCGAAGAGTCGTGCGCGCTGCCCATAACGGCCGACGTCATCAAAGCCGACGAGCAGCTGTCTCTCGAGCTGTGGGACAGCGACCGGTCGTCGGCCGACGACATGGTCGGCAAAGTCGAGTTGAGCCTTCAGAAGCTGATCCAGCACCCGGGCAAGATGTTCCCGCAGGTGTCCCAGCTCAAGGGCGTCAAGGCCGAGAGCACCATGCCGGGCGAGCTGCACTGGGAGGTCGGCTTCTTTGGTAAGACGCAGTTCCGCCGGGCGCTCCGCACCGACGGCCGCGACCCCAACCTGCCCAAGGAATTGGCGGACAAGAAGGAGCTGCAGGACGACAAGGGCAGCCTCGATACGGCCCAGGAGGAGGCCGCCGTGTGCACGCCGCCCGACCCGCTCTGGCCAAGTGGCATCCTCAGCGTGGTGGTCCATCAGATTGTCAACCTCGAGATCGCTAATGTCAAGGGCTCCAAGGGCGGCAAGCGCACGGGCGGCAGGGAGTACGAGCCGGGGCGGCCCGAGGCGGGCGAAATCAAGGAGGAGGAGGGCAAGAAGCTTCCGAGCGCGTACTGCACGATCCTCATCAACGACGAGCTCGCGTACAAGACGCGCACCAAGGTGGTGTCGTCGCGCCCCATCTTCGAGGCCGGCACCGAGCGCTTCATCCGCGACTGGCGGTCATGCATTGTCACGGTGGCAGTCCGCGACTCGCGCAACCGGGAGCATGACCCCCTCATCGGCGTCGTCCCGCTCCGGCTGTCCGACATCCTCCAGACTAGCAGCCAGAGCACGCGCTGGTACCCACTCGATGGCGGCATCGGCTTTGGGCGCATCCGCATCAGCCTGCTGTTCCGGTCGGTCGAGCTGCGCTTGCCACCCACGCAGCTGGGATTCGGCGACATCGGCACCTTTGAGTTCACCTCGGACGCGCTCACCACGTCGGGCTACTGCCCAAGCGAGCGGACCAAGGTCAAGATGCGGACGGGCGGAAGCTCGGCGTCGGTCAAGGGAGACGTGTGCAGCAAGACGGACGACGGCACCGGCCTGTCGTGGGACATCAGCGGGACCGAGACTAGCAAGCGGCACAGGTCGACGCGCATCCGGCTCCCCGTGCGGTTCCGGTATCGATCGCCCATCTTCTTCGAGTTCCGCCCCTCGGGCAAGCGCCGCAAGACAGACACGTTCGCCTCGCTGTGGCTGCAGGACGTGCCGGATGCTGAGGAGAGGGAATTTGACATCCCCATCTGGCGCTGCGACAACGGCATGCGGCTCTCTCAGAACTACATCACGCCCGACAACGTGCAGTCGGTGCCGGACCTCAAGGTCGAGGAAGTTGGGCGGCTGCGGTTCAGGGGCCGGTTCAAGCCCGGCACGGACCGGGACCATCTCCGGTTTGTGAGCGACAACGACTCGCGCGAGACGATCGAGACGTGGGAGGCGTGCTTTGCCGAGGGTGTGCGGGAGGAACATGTGCATCCGAAAGTGCCGCCCGTGGTGCAGAAGCTGCACGACGAGAGTCTGACGCAGGGGCGGGATGTGTTGGCCATGGCGCCCGAGGAGGACAAGAGGAAGTGGCTGGCCAAGGACGGCACCGACTGGAGCGGGGCGTTTGGCGAGGATCCGGCTGTGCTGCTTGAGAGAAACAAGAGCGAGCAGCAAGATGAGGATGAGGAGGCTGAGCAGCTGGACGGTGCTGTTGACGGGTCTATCGATGAAGTCAGCAGCGACCAGGATGATGAAGACGAGGAAGAGGTGGATCTGGGAATTAACGACGCCACGCACGACAAGGAGAAAGATAAGCAGAGGACGAACGAGGGTGATGAGGATGATGGAGAAAATTATACCTGGAGGCGAAGCGAAGGCGAGGTCAAAGAGCGCGGCCGCATGTCGATGGACAGCACCGCCACGGGAGCCACGGGCACGAGCAACAAGTCGGGCAGCAGCAAGAACCCCATCAAGAAGTACAGGGAGTACCGCAACCGCAGTAGAGATCTGCACCGCCAGCATCGCGGGCTGATGCAGTGGTAAGTTCCTCCGCTTCTTTCTCTCCTGGGTAATGAAGATGCTGACGGGAACAGGAAACCGATGCGCAATGTTCAATTTGCCAAGGACGAAGCAGTGTTCGCCACGAGGCGGTTGATGAAGGTTGGCAGCTTGAGCGGCCGGAAGCCTGATGTTGAGACCGAGGTCTAAGGGATTGGAGACGATAGCGCGATAAAAACTTCCTATCTGTTGTCTTCTGTTTTCTACGGAAGGGTTCGGTATGTGGTGGTGTTGGGGAGCGGTAGAATAAAGGGGCCATGACAGGACAATGAAAGGGTTGGTAATATTGACCTGGAAAAGTAAATTGGAATTATACCATGAAGTACACTAAATTGATGTAACCACTTTGTGTGTAGGTGACGAAGTGCGAGAATGGAGCTGATGACGACTGGAGTTGAGTGAGTGTGTGTTGTCAGGGGAAGAAAACGCCAAAATGGAACAAAGCTTTATAGGGCCGGCAGTGTTGAGTGCCCCTGCCGGGGTTCATTAATCCATGGAGCGGTTAGACCGGGGTTTGGCTTGTGAGAAATAGAACATAAACCTGCATACCAGCGCACTACGGCTCTTGGCAGGCGCCGCATAATCATAGCACCCAACCGCTCATTCAACGTCGACCATCTCTCCATTGTGCTTTCTCATTCATTCTAGTTAAGTAGCTCATTCAACTGATATCTGCTTCGATGTTCAAACGTCTTGTCAAATCTGTCCGCCGGCTCCCTCACACCTACAGCGCAAGCGTCAGAATGACATCCACCATATTGGGCGCATCCAGTCGCCAGTCCTCCGAGGCGAAGCATTTCACAGAAATGAGGACGGCAAACTCGCCGTCTTAATAGCCACGTATGTCTCAATGCTCTATGCCCTCATCTCGCAGCTTCATCATAATTCTAACAACCTCTCAGGGTCGGAAATGGGTCCGTCGTTTTCAAGCAAGAATCGAAGTCGATCTTCGAGCGGTCCCGGCGCCTCGCAGACGAGTGTGCAGGCTCCCGTCGGCTTCGATTTCACACTGATTTCATCCCAGAGGACCGTATTGCTGTCTACCCCTACTTCATAGACGGCCTTCTTGGATTGATGCGGGCCGACCCCAACTTTCCTCCTGCAGAACTGAAAAAGACCCTGCGGCACGTAGGCGAGGCAATCCACGAATTTCATGCCCAAGGCTGGCTCCATTTCGGTACGCTCTCCACAACTCGGAAATCGGTATGAAGAAAAGAGAACCCTAACCATTCGAGTTTTCGGCAGATGTAAAACCGGACAACATTTTGGTCAATTGGACCTGTGACGAAGAGGGGAACAAAACAGTTGCAGGTGCGGGCCTGGGCGATTTTGGCATTGCTTACCAGCTGGTAGGAGCACCGCCACTTCGGACAAGGGTTGCTCTAGGAAACTTCATGTGGCGAAGCTCAGGAGGACAGACCGGAAGTGGTATAACAAAGGCGTCCGGCATGTTCTCGTATGGACAGGTGGTGAGTAGGCTATGTTCGATTTCAACAGGTCATGTTGAACTTTTTGCAGTGCATATATGCTCTCGGGGGTGGAGACCTCTTGCTCTTGGAGGATAAGAAGGTACTAGCGGAGCTCGCGGCGCTTGGTATAACGCCACGAGAAGACATTCTGACCCGACACTTTACCTATTTTGGGCCCGTCAACGAAGGGCTCCTCAAACAGGTCGATAGTCGCGAGCATGGCACTTTGAAGAAAGCGGCAGCAACTGCTTGGCTTGCAGTGAAGAACCAACCTGAACTACGGTTCGAGGTGTGGGGGAAGGAGCTTGGTGAAGCTGCATTAGATATGATATCTGGAATGACAAAGCCGGACCCGACGGCTGCTAGACTAACCATCGACCAAGTTTTGAGGTGCCCATGGTGGCAAGAGCCTTAAGAGTTAAGACAGTAACGTTAGCAACCCACTCTTATTTTTTTTCTCTTCATATCTTAGGGGCTTTCACGCCTACGCCACCTTAGCTTTTCTTCTAGATTGTCATTCAAATCTACCATTCGTTTTCCAGGTTGCGCTGAATTGCTGGTTCTACCTCTTATAGAATGTAAAGGCTGTGAAGGAACGCGACTTGGGCGGGTGAGCGGGCTTCTGGTCACAGTGGGTCTTGGCCGAGAAACGCACTGGCCAACGGGTATCCGTAAAATAAAGGCAACCAATCAGTCCCTTCCAGCTTCGGGCTTGTACGAGTTGATGGTTGAACATCAACGAATCGGATGTAGTTAGCGTGCCAAGGCCCTTTAGGCTTCGTGCCTCCGGGCGAAATAAATTCCATCCATCCATCCTTCCAGCTTCGGTTTCTTTATTACGATTCATAACTCAAACTTATCAGTCCCTGGCGTATCCCCAGCCTGCAAAACGCACAAATTATCTGGTCAACATTCAACAAACCCATACGCCAAAAAGGAGATCCAAACATGCCCAAGGAATACTTCTCCCCCTACGCCCCGCGCAGACCGCGCTCTCCAAGGCTGGTGCTGATTTGGGTGTCGACATTCGTATTCATCCTCTGGATGACGTGGTACATCGCGACGCGGCACAAGGAGCGGGCGGCCCCCTACGTTGAGGAATTCATGCACCCGGGGAGGGGACCGAGGAGGGTACAGGAGGCTGGTGCGGGAAGTGGTCAGTAAAAGAGCGTTCAGGTTGGGGAAGGAGGATGATATGACTCTTTTCTGGCCACGATGCTGGTTCTCGACACAGAGCCGGGCCGCAGCTGGCGGTTCTGATGTGTTTGCCGGAGATGGACATGGGGTGGAGATCGAAAGAAACTTTGGATGGGGTGGTATCGATGGTTTGGTCGGACCCAAGGTTTACTCTATATGCTTGGGAGAAGGGACTGCTGCTTGTCCGATTCTCCCTCCTTCATTGGGTGTTTGGAGATGGATCCCTCACGGCATTTTACGACCGACCGGACTGGTAGTTATCGGGGGCGCCGCAGCAGCAACTCGGATCGATCGCGCAGTCAGCCTCTACCGGCATGGAGCGCCGTATTTGATGGATGCCCGTCTCTAACCATGAGAGACGAGACCGGATGATCGCAGGATTGGCGGTTAACGAACTCCGCCGCATTCACTGAGCTGTTTTCTCGACGCAGGAGAGGCAGGATTGCTAGAACTGGACTCGTGGTGTCTAGGGTCCAAGAGGCACGATGTCGAATGCACAGGAGCCGTCTGAAACTGTAAACCAGCAAACCAGGGCTCTGCTCAAAAAAAAATTTCATTTATAGTAGTTCCATGTCCTTGTATACCGCAACTTCACCTTTGAACTGTTTCACGGAGGATTTACAAGGGATTCGACACAGTGCTCAAGCCTAAAGGCCAGCTGCCCTCCAACTTTAGCAGCTAAATCGCACTAGACATACAGTGTTCAGCACTGTCCATTCACCAAGTCACCCCACTGTTTCCGTACCTTCCATCCGCTCTTGAAATGCTTCCATCTCCGAGCGGATATCATCTTGGTGACGGACTCATGCCTCTTTGAGACACTTGCGACTTGAGCCTTTAAGATGGACCCGCCGCGTACCATCATCATCGGCATCAGCGGGTGCTCGTCGAGCGGCAAGACCACCCTCGCGAGGCTGCTGCGCGATATGTTCCCCGAGACCTTCATTCTCCATGAGGATGACTTTTACAAGCCTGAGTCGGAGTAGGCCTCCCTTTTCAACCACTATTAACCGTTTCCTCCTCTCTCAACCGCTAACTCGACGAAGACTCCCCATCAAAAACGGGCTTGTTGACTGGGACTGTCCCGAAGCAATTTCCATCCCCGACCTTGAAGACGCCCTCGCCCACATTCGCGCCACGGGCACATTACCAGTTAGTAACTCTGTGCCCATCGCCTCTCCCATCTTGAGCCTCTCCCACCGCAGCAACCACGGCTGTGTCCCCCACCCCGCCACTTGCCCCCCATCACCACCACTTTTTATTCCACTTCTCCCTTCCACACCATCACCACCACTCCCGGAATCACCACTATCGTCGCCGTCGCCCTCAACAAGCTCAAATCCGCTCACCAACCCCCCAACCCCACGGGGCCTCCCCCCACCACAGCCAACCGTCGACTCCAAAGAAGACCTCAACTCGGTCGGCCCCTGCCCAGCAACCCCATCCCACATCGCCGCCTGCGCCGCCCTCGTCCAAAACTGGCTCTCCCCAGGCCAACCAGGCTCCTTGATATTTCCCCTTTCCCCCGCGCCGCGACAACAACAACAACAACAAACTCAAACCTCCTCCTCCTCCTCACCACCCCCACCACCACCACCCCCACCCAACGCGAAACCCAAAATCCGCATCTGCCTACTCGACGGCTTCCTCCTGTACGCGCCGCCGCACTTTTCCCGCGTCATGTCCCTCCTCGACGTCAAGCTCTTCCTGCGCGTGAGCAAGACCAAGGCGCTGCAGCGGCGGGAGGCGCGCGACGGCTACGTCACGCTCGAAGGGTTCTGGAAGGACCCGCCGGGCTATGTCGAGCAGATTGTGTGGCCCAACCATGTCGAGGCGCATCGGTGGATGTTTCATCAGGGCGGAAAGGTGGACGGCGGGGAGGAGGGTGGCGGCGGGGAGCTGGATTGGGAGGCTGTGCGGAGAGCAGGGATTTCGGTCATGGATGGCGCGGAGGATCGGGAGTTTGGGGAGGTGTTGGAGTGGGCTGTGCGAGTTGTTATGGAGGAGGTGGAGAGGATTGTGTTGGGGTAAGTTAGCAAGGAAGGGAGGAGCTGGGGTGTACATTAGAGTAGAGAGATGGTGTGGAATAGAACAGATGGCGGAGGTGTTGGTTACTGAAAGACGAGAAATGATCCTAAACACCTGAGCTATGTTATGCCCTATTTTTATGTTGGGGGTAACATTTGCGATACGGAGTGTAACATAGGTTAGTCAGTCTCGACGTCCTCTCTACCCTCGTTTCCCACTATAACCCCCATGATCTCCCATCAAATCCTCACCATCACTCGCCAACGCGTTCACCCTCCAGCAGCCACCCATCTACCGCCAGGTATCATTCACCGTCTGCGCCGCACAAGCCCCACCGGTAGCCGCAGCAGCCACCGTCAAGCTCCGATTCGGATCCGACTCCCACTGCACCGACCCGTCCGAGTTGACTTTCACATACTTGTATTGCACCGCCGCCCCCGCCCGCATCGGCACCGTGATACTCCACAGCGGATTCCCCGCCGTGTAACCTGAGGCCGACAAGCTCACCGCCTTCCCGACATTCCACCCCCCGACCTCGGCGCTACTACCCACCACTTTGACCGTCTGACCCCACTGCGTCGCCACCCGCGCGTTGAACGTGACATACACCTCGCCGGCGTCGATACACCCCGTCGGAAACGGCGCCGGCGCGCCGCCCGCGCCCGGGTTGGGGGTCAGGTTGGCCGGGAAGGAAGTCGTCGCTGTCGCGAGGGCGTAGGTCCCCGCGACCTGGACCCGCGAGCATGTCGAGGGCAGGGTCCTGCCGTTGGTGGCGGACCAGCCGGACGGCACGATGCCCGCGCGGCGCTCGGCGGCAGTCAAGAAGGCCGAGTAGGACCAGGTGAGGTGGGCGGCGGAGAGGGGGGCGCCCGTGCTGCGGTCGTATTGCTCGGCCAGGTAGCCGTCTTGCGGCGTGTACTTTGCTGCGATGTCGATGAAGCCGTCGGCGTAGGCGAGGACCGCGTCGAGGATTGTTTGGAAGGTGGGCGAGGAGGGGGAGGAGGAGGAGTAGGTGCCGGGGGTGATGGAGGGGAGGAGGTCCTTGAAGAAGGGCAGGGACAGTTGGGTAATGGTGACGGAGCCTTGCTTCTTCCAGACGTAGATGGCGTCGTAGAGCTGCTCGGCGGCCGCGAAGTTGGCCAGGTACCACGGGTTTCCGTTGTAGTAGACGTCCTCCGAATAGCGGCCCACGGCGACGGCCTTGCCCTGGGGGATACCCGAGTTGATGGCGTAGACGGAGCGGAACGAGTCGACGTAGGCTTTGTGGTTGGACAGGGCCCTGTCGCTGCACGGTTGGAAAGTAATGGCGTCGCAACCGACGGCCGGGTCGAAGGTGTGGATCGAGGCCAGAAGCGAGTTGGCATCTTTGCCGGACCTGTACTCGCCGCCGTTGACTGTCCGCTGTCAGCTGGGTGTGGACTAATAGGGGTTGACGAATGGAGTCTTACTGTTGGACACGACGTAGCCCCCAGAAGCCTTCCAAAAACTCTGCTGGAAGCAGAGGACGTGGGGGGCAACCGTGATGCAGGCGCGGCATTCAGTGCCCAGCTGGGCAGCGAGATCCGCTCCTTCGACCAGGGCTATGCTGGGTTAGATCTTCTTCCTGGTGTACGCGAGTATAATCACTGACCGCGATGAGAACTGGCAATGGTGAAGAATGAACTGCCGGGCACTTCCTCCCACAGATCGAAGCCGGTCTCGTTCCTGTGCGATGTCAGTACCCCGCATGAACTGTGCACCCCACGGCTCAGCGCTACCTACCAGTACTGGGCGGTGTAGGCTAGGTCGTTCTTGATCACGGGCCAGACGATGTCCTTGGCGGTGGCCTTGTATCCATTATTGACCAACCATTTGGCGTATTGAATCAGAGCAATGGCCCGGAGAGGAGGGCCGTCCCTCTGCGGGCGGCCCCATTCGCCGGTGAACTGGGTCAGATCGACCATGAACTTGGGCTCGCCGAGACCGGCGCCATTAGAGAAGCTGCCTGAGGGGTTCGAGACGCCCTGGAGCTTGGCCTGAGAGGCAACAAAATTGTGGATGGTCCCCTGGAGCGATGACGAGTAGTTGTGTGCAAACGCGTCGGCGATGCCTGTGAGGACCAGGGACGCGTCTCTGGTCCATGTGTACCAGTCTGCTACATGTCAGCACGTCGCTGATTGTATAATGGGAACGGCTGACTGTCACTTACAGTCCGGGTTCGCTTTGGACGGGCTTGCAACCACCACGCCCGAGGCAGCGCCCGAAGCAGCACACCCGTTGGGCCCAATGTTGCAGAGTAATCTCGCCCACGCAATTGGCGTCTCCTTCTCGATGAACGAGTCGACGGACCGCTTGCAGATGGCCGTGTCCCGCTTGTCACGGGCGGCTCCCGGGTGACACAGGGCCGCCTGGACAGCGCAGGAGCCCAGGACGAAGAGGGACGAGAGAGCGTGCATGGCTGGCAGGACGAGGTTGGATGCGTTGAGCGCTGCGAGTTGATGCTGAGCTTGGAGGAGCAGGTTGGCCATGCTGAGACCGTTCTTATACTCCAACGTCAAGCTCCCGTTCTCAACAAGATGCTGACTTCCGCATCGGGTCAATGGCAGGGACTGGTTTAGATGTGCTGTATAAGTGGCCCTACCTCGGTGAGCTACGCGATCAAGGTCCGACATCCACCCAATCGCATGGAATGCTCGGTGCTATTCTCTCAGAGTTCCACGCGTATGCCATGCCTCGGTGCAACGTCGAAACCCTTAGGCTCGGCCGTTGTCGATCTTGCCCCCGGGGCCGCCACTACCCGTCTAGGGCAGTTGTTTCGTCTGCCAAGAGCCTGCCTGCGGGGAGAGGCTGTTTAACGCTAAGCGAGGACCTGGAGAAGCACCGATGTGTTGCCGTCGTTGTGGGGGGGATTCGACGTCACACGGCTGCACCCCGGATCATCTCCAATGACTTGCAGCGCGGGGAGGGATTTAGGCATGGCCAAACGATCGCTGAGGTTCCGGAGAGCGACTGTTTCCCAGGGAACAAGGACTGTACGGAGTACCGAGGCAACATTAAAAAACACCACATACAGAGGGGAAATCGAGTATCGGCGCTCAGCGGGCGTGATTGATGCTTGAAAGTGAACGGTTGCAGGCGGTCGCATTCTATGTCTAGTATGTCGGATGATGGCGGGATCTGGTTGTTCCGTTGGTTTGCCGTCAACCACCAATGTCGCGAGCAGGCCACGGACCCAACTCTCATAAGAACAGGATGCGACTAGGCTGTTGGTGCCTGCCAAGCAACGAGATCGCGATGCTGTCCGCCCCCTGCAATTGCATCAAAATCGGGCCGTTGTGGGGGACGGCACCGGCGATGTGATTAGCGGCGGAACCTTGACCAGAACGGCAACTCGCGCCGAACGTTGGCGAGGGGCACAATATCACATGTTGGTGTTGGAGTACTTCAGTACTCGGTACACGCTGTTCAACGCAAACGGACATCTTCAAAGGGTAAGCCGGGGATCGTCTAGTATGACGACCACGCTTTCAATACTCCCTTCGCCTGGACGCACCCCAGACGCGCATCTCGGCAGCCCATCCTCGGCCTTTCTCTGACGATGAGCAAGACGCGCTAGGTCGACTGTCGGCGAGATCCCAGAACACGCTTAAGCGAGGCGAATATTCGGTATGAGGGGTAATCCTCCAGGGACGATGTCGTACCTGTGAAATCCGCTGCAGCCAACCTGCCATGAAATTCAAAAGCACAAGGCACAATAGTCGACGACAACAGCACAGAAATGTAGGCAGCCATGGTTTCCCCCAGCCCCATTGACCGACGGTCTCGGCGAACGGCTTGGAATATGGCGTCTCCTAAATCATCCGCTTCACCTCGCTCAAGCCTTTTACAGCGAACGGGGCTCCCCGGAGTTCGGTCATTCTTGGACCTGTCGGGTGGAAATTGACATCATCGAAGGGTAGATGGCTCCTTAGTTCACCGAACTGCCGCAGCAATCGACCCTGACCACCGAAGTGGCAGAGGATCGCTGGGCACAGATCCGTGAAGAGGAAAAGGAAAGAAGAGCAAGAGCCGCAAGAAATCGGTTGCTCAAATAGTTGCAGAGATTTTGGAAAAGTGGGGCAGCCTCTTGCAGGCTGCAACGGAGCTCCACCTGCGTTCCATACCGTATCTTATCCGCTAGCGTCGTGTGTTCCATGTCGCTCCAGCCTCAAGCCAACCTGGAAGTTCTTGGCTGGGCGTTGATTCTAACCGAACATCAACCTCGCTAGTGACTCCGCGTCATTACTCGACATCAGCCTGCGCTTCTCGTCAAGATGGACGCAGCATCAATCGAGGAGATCAACAAGGTCCGGCGGGCGATGGGCATGAAGCCCCTGCCCGTTCCCGGAGCAGCTCCGCCACCAAAAGAGGCGACACCCGAAGTCGAAATCGGCGACGACGGCAAGCCGCTCAGCACCCTCGAGACTCGCGAAGCCGCCGGGTACGAAAACTTCAAGAAGGCTCAAGAAGCCGAGGAGGCAAGGAGGAAGCGCGAAGCGAAAGCAGCGGCTATCAAGAAGGCTCGCGAGCTGGCGCAACGAAATGCCGTTATTGAGGGCAAGGGATTGGCCGACGACGACGAAGAAGTGGACGTCAAGTCATGGCTGAAGAATCAAAAGAAGCGTCAAAAAAAGATCGAGGCCGCGCGAAAGGCCGAGGAGGAGAAGGCGGTCGCCGCAGCAGCCAAGGCTGCCGAACACACAACTGCCGACCTGGCTGGCGTCAAGGTCGCGCATGACATGGCCGCCTTTCTCGATGGAGACGAGCAGGTTCTTACCCTCAAGGACACGGGCGTTTTGGAGAACGAGGAAGAAGGGGATGAGCTTGAGAATCTTGCTCTGCGGGAGCAAGAGAAGCTGCAGGAGAGGCTCGATCTCAAGAAGAAGCGACCTGTCTACGACCCTAACGACGTCGACGAGACCGGGGAGATTGGCTTATTGTCAAAGTACGACGAGGAGATCCACGGGAAAAAGAAGAAAGCCTTCACCTTGGATTCTGCAGTTGCTACGACAGAGCTGGCAGAGATCCTCGAGGCGCCAGTTCAAAAGAGGAAGAACCAGGCGGTGGACCTTGATGTTCTTGGTGGGTGCACCAGCTGCAATGCGCATATCGGGGCACCTGGAAATTATGCTAACCGACACTGGAACAGAAGACGCACCGGCTCCCACTTCAGACTATCTTGATCCTTCCGAAGTCAAGGTAAAGAAACCGAAAAAGAAGAAGTCGAATTCGACAAGACGTCGCCGGGAAGATGATGACGATGTGCTGTTCCAAGGGGATACGGTAAATGGCGACGAACCTGCCCATGAGATGGACGTCGATTCAGGACCGACTGCATTTACCAAGAAGAGGAAAGTGCCAGTGGATGACAACTTTGTGGATGACGAAGATTTGCAGTCAACTCTGGCCCTCCAAAGGAGGGAGGCGCTCAAGAAGCGGAAGAAGATGCGACCAGAAGATATCGCAAAGCAACTTCGCGAGGAAGCCGAGAATCTAGAAATGGAGACAGAAGAAGACAAGGGCCTTGTCATGGACGAGATCAGCCGATTCGTCGATGGCCTGCGCGCTGACCCAGAAGAAGACCGCAAGCCACGCAAGCCTAGGCCTGAAGGAGCAGTGACGACCATGCAAGACGAGTCCGCCTCGGAAGACGAAGAAATGCACGACGCCGACCAACGCCCGTCCCGCGACACCTCACCCCTCGTCGAAGTCCCCGCGAGCGGTGTCGAGGAGGAAAAAACGGTTGCCCAAGGCATGGGTGCCACGCTCGCGCTCCTCCGCGACCGGCACCTGATTGAAGAAGGCAAGGGAGCCGAGCTCAACGAAAAGTTCCGCCAGCGCCAGCGCTTCCTTAACGAGCTGCGCCGGCGCATGGATCTCTTCGACCAAGAAACCCGCGCCCAGCGCGAGCGGGACCGCGCCAGCGGGCGCCTCGACCGCATGTCGGCGCGCGAGCGTGAGGAGTGGCAGCGGCAGCAGAACACGCTCCGCGAGCAGCACCAGGCGCGCGTCATCGACGCGCTGTTCCGAGAGGGCTACCGGCCCGACGTCGAGCTCAAGTATGTCGACGGGGACGGGCGCAGCCTGGACGCCAAGGAGGCCTTCAAGGAGCTCTCGCACCAGTTCCACGGCAAGGGGAGCGGCAAGGGCAAGACGGACAAGAAGCTCAAGAAGCTGGCCGAGGAGAAGAGGCGGATGGCGCAGAGTATGCTGGATGCCAGCCAGAATGTCGGCATGAGCACGGCCGCGTCGCACCAGACCAAGAAGAGGAGGGAGGCGGGCGTGCGGTTGGCTTAAGCAGAGGTGGACGGGTCGGGGTCGAGTTGGTTGGGGATAAATCTACGGGCTACGGGGTATCTTCAAAGGTGCTTACACCCTTTCTTTTCATCGCTGAATACATGTGTTGCGGTTTGTACTGACGCCGTGTGAGCTAGATGGCGAGTCGAGGTAAGGCGTAGAGGGAGGGGTCCGGCTGGATCAGACCTCAAACTGGTGTCTCAGTGATGCTGTGCAGTGACATGGTCCTTTGTGATCGTTTTATCGTTAAAACAACCCCTCCAGTACGGACATAGGGCCAGACCGCTTCTGCCCTCCTCTGGGTCCTTCCAGCCCTTCCACGTAACATGCAGTGCGATGAGACTTCGCATAAGGTAGACCAAGTTGTTAGCAGACCGTGACTGCTAGGTATCACTCTTGTATTTTGCATCTGTAGAGCGCTTAGGCTTGTCTGCTGATTATTCTTGACTTTTGGGTTGGTGCGGTGATGAGCTTGGCGCTCCCATTTTCGGATATTCAGAAAAGACTTGGCGCTCATACTCATGTGAACCGTGCGCTCCCCCAGATGCTTGATTCAACGACAAGAGCCACCAAGAAGATCGATGAATCAAATCCTGTGTGACGGATACCCATAACGAACATAGAAACACAGCTCCCCGGCAAACCCCTACCATCTTCTCAGCTGTCCGCCATTTCATAGAATTATTACCCGCCCGCAAAATGTCCGAAACAACCTCGGCCGTGATCGTCACCACCAGCATAATTGCCTTCATCACCGGCTTCGGGCTAGGCGTCTGGACGATCCGCGGGTCGCTGATCCCACCGAAGCTGGCCGTTGAGCGGCGCGCCAACTTGCACGACCCCATAGAGAGCGAAGAATCCGACGTCGACGAGGAAGAGACGCTGCTCGACCACGCGCCAAACTGGGCCAACAGCGAGGAGGCAGACCGGCGGCAGGGGCTGCGGCCGAGGGCTGCAGCAGCAGGATCAGCAGCAGCACCACCACTGTTCGGCGGCCAGGAGCCACAGTTGAGGATCAACCCCAATGAGGAGTGCAAATTGGTGCTGGTAGTGAGGACTGATCTAGGGATGACCAAAGGTATTTTTACTTTCAATCCATCAATCAAATATCACCCACACAAACCTCCTCCCCAACTCCCAACCGCCCCCAATTCTTACCCTAAAACAAACACCTAAAAACTGCTGACCCTTTGAATGTCCAGGCAAAATCGCCGCGCAATGCTCCCACGCCACGCTAGCGTGCTACAAAACCCTCTCCCGTGCCGCCCAGCAAACCCCGCAGTCCCCCGAGGCCCAGATTCTGCGGCAGTGGGAGCGCCTGGGCCAGGCCAAGATTGCGGTGCAGGTTAAGAACGAGGACGAGCTGTTGGCGCTCCTGGCTAAAGCGCGCAGCCTCGGGGTGACGGCTGAGGTGATCTCGGACGCCGGGCGGACGCAGATCGCGTCGGGCAGCCGGACAGTGCTGGGTGTCGGCCCTGCGCCCAAGAGTCTTGTGGATTTGGTTACGGGGGGGTTGAAGCTTTTATGAGCAGATTTTCAGTGGGCTGTAGGATGGATGGATAGGGAGTATTGGCTTGAGGGCGCTTGCAGGAAGGGGTATAAATAGATGTGGGGTGGCTATGGATGGGAAAATAGAATGGGAGTTGGCGCATTGTCTGGCGTACGGTATGGCGGCGTTCTCAGGTTGGAGTCGAGTCTTTGTGGATGGCGAGTAGAAGAAGCACGGTTTTTTCCGTCATTTTGGCGCTTGCGGCCTGGTCAACATGATGTAGTAGTGATATCCTTATGCTATAAATGATTTCAGAGAGACAGTATGATCTTGTTGATACACCCACATCTCATTCAAGTTGAATCCGTCCGTATATTGGGAATTGGGAAAGGCAAAGAAGTGGCAGAAAGAGAAGGTAGCCCGGGGGGACCACCGCCATTGACCGTTAGGCCACTTGGCGGTGGTCGGTGATACCTGGCGAAGCGGACCTCCTAAATCAGGGACCGGCAGCCGTTCTAACTCTTCTAGACCAAAGCACAAGATGTCCCCTTCCTAGCTTCATGCACCATGGTATCGATCAGACTATCGATTCCCGCGCACCAACACACAGGCACATAGACGCGAGCTGCGAGAGAGGGACAGCACAACCCAGTATGCTGGTATTAGGGTATCAAAATTTATTCCTTCCTGGCAAACCGCGCCAGCGCCGGCCCCAACTCGGCCTGCCGCTCCTTGTGCTTCTCGTCCTTCTTCTCCTGCATCTCCTTGTACATCTCTTCCACCTTGAGCCTCTTCTCGTCAATGATGTTCTTCTTGCGCTGCTTGCGCAGATACTTCTTCAGCGCCGTGTTCTTTCCCCTGGCCCGGTTCCGGATCTCCTCGGCAATGTCGACGGCGGGCGCATCAAGGTCCCTGTCGGCCTGGCGCTGCTTCTCGGACCGCAGGTCGAGATTGCCGATGAAGTTGGGATCCAGCGCGATCATCTCGGGCTGCAGCTTGTTCAGCAGCGCCTTGACCTCGCCCTCTTGCCGCTGCTTCTTGGTCTCGAACGGATTGACTTCGAGCGCGTCGTAGTTGGCCTCGCCGGCGCCTGGGATGATAACGGACGAGAACCCCTGGGCGTGCCCGATGCCGAGCACATCCTCGAATGGGCACCACCGCACCCGCTCGACCGACTGCCCGTCGCCGCCCCACGTCATGTAGGGGCTCTGAACTTTTTCTTGAACCGCCCTTTCTTTTGAGAATAGTCCCTTCCAGACAGTCGTATGTGTCCCCCACCCGACGGCTGTCAGGCCTGTGTCGGATATCGCGATGGATGATGCCGGTGACCTGGTAAAGTAGCTGGATACGGCCTCCTTGAAGTTGCGGATATCCCAGATGGCCATCCGGTTGTCCTGCCCTGCCGACACCATGTATCGCCCTTCACGGTCCACTGCCAGTGACCGTACGGGGCCTCTGTGGGCTAGGAGCTTCACCAGCGGCTCGGTGGAATTTGGTGACCACAGTGTGACGGTGCCGTTCTGCTGGCCGACGTGGAGGATGGCGTTGTATGGGTTCTGCGTTAGTGAGACAGGAGTGCCGAGCTTGGTAGGGATCTCGGCGACGATTTGACCGGTTGATGTGTCTTGGAACTTTAACTGGCCGCTGATACTCTGCTACACGTCAGCAATGGCCAAATGCCAAACAGCTCTTGGAGCGCTTACCAATGTGGCCAGGAGGAAATGGTAGGGAAGAAACTCCATGTGTGAAACTTCGACGTGTTTCCTGAGACAGTGGAGCTCGACGCCGTTCGCATCGTAAATGTAGACATACTTCTTCTGCGCGACGGCGAAAAACTGATTGTTGTGAAGAAAACGAGCATCCCGAACCGTCTCGCCCAGTTGCAGTTCACAACCGAGCTTGCCTTCCCGCCAATTCATGGTCGCGACGTGGCCTTTTCGCCCCGCCAGAATCAGATCGCCACCGTTCCTGCTGTACTCGCACACATAGGGCCCCAGAGCATCTAGTTTCAGCTCGAATTTCTTCTGCGCCACCTCGATGCCAACCTCCTTCTGAATCTCATCTTGGCGAACCCTGTACGTCCGTTCGAGTTCTGTCTCGGCTTCGAGGAAGCCCGAGGTGTTCTCGAGCAGGATTTCGGCCTCTTTCGCCTTCAGTGCTGCCGTCTTGTATTTGTTCTCGAGGTTGGTGAGGTTGCGCCGCAGCTTCTTGTCCTTGACATTCTTGACATCGATCTGCCGTCCGCGCCCATAGGCTCTCTTCGCTTGCCGTTCTCGACGGATGCGCTCCAGCTCCGTCTTGGAGCGAAATCCCGTGCGAGTGTTCTTGATAGCTAAAGCCCCGCTGGGCTGCTCAACCCGGGTCAGGGGAGCATCGACAGTGTCTGTTGTATCCATGTTGTTGAAAGCCGAAACTGTGCGATTGGGGATTCAAGTGTCGCGGCCGAGATCAAGTCGAGAGCCGACGATTTTGAGCCAGACCCACCAAAAAGTTCAAGTGAAAGCTCTTCATTGGTCACACAGCCATCGATAAGATAGACACACAAATCGAAAATCGCAAGAGTGCCCCGCCATTACCGCCCCCTCCTCGCTGCTCCTTGAACTTGGAGTATTCCAGTGTCTTGCAAATACTCCGGGCCTTCTGGTATTTGTTGTGCTTGTCATTCCCGCCAGTCAAAGTGGCGTCTCTTCCATTCCGTTTTAAGGCCGGCGGCGACGCAAAGATGCCCAGCGCAGTAGGCGGGGGCCACTCCCACAGAGCTACGACTAAGGTGTCGCACAAGCCGTTCAAATCGAGAAAAGCGACCAAGGGCCAACTGCGTGATGCTGCAAAAGGTAGGAGTCACGCCGGTCTGAGCTCAGATTGACGACTGCTTGGGAGCATATTCACGGCAATTACTTTCTCTCCTTCTACTCTCGCTGACCTCTTGATCAGGGAGAATCGCCGGCCAAAAAGGACAGCGCAAGACACCCCACCAGCAAGTCATGTCGAAACTCGACCGGCGGAACCAAGCCAAGCAGCGGCAACTTGAGAAAGCCCGCGAGCACCAGAAGGAGGCGTCTATCTTCGCCGGGAAGGATGGGGTCCCGCGCAACGTCGCAGTGATTCCTCTGTGTGCCGACACCGACACGACCTCAGCCATCCAGAGCCTGAACGCGAGCGTCGACATTGAGGCTGAGATACACGATGGGTGCTTCCGGGTTCCCGTGGACAGGTTCAAGCAAAAGTTGCAGTACTTGCCCCTGAAAAGGAACCTCGCTGCGTGCTTGGATGCTGCCCGGGTCGCTGACTTTATCGTCTTTGTTTTCTCGGCCGAGGTTGAGGTGGATGCCTTGGGCGAGCTGATTCTCCGGAGCGTCGAGAGCCAGGGCATGTCGACACTGTTCACTGTTGTCCAGGGGCTCAACAAGATCGAGCCCGCCAAGCAGAGGCTTTCAGTCGTTTCGTCCCTCAAATCGTACATCACCCACTTCCACCCAGAGCAAGACAAAATCTACAGCCTCGACAACCGACAAGAGTGTGCGAACCTGATGCGGTCACTATGCAGTACCACACCCAAAGGCATTCGGTGGAGGGATGAGCGGAGCTGGATGCTGGTCGAAGATGTTCAGTGGGCGACTTCGGGGATGGCGCCCACCATCCTCACAGGTGTTGTCAGGGGCAGGGGCCTGAAGGCAGACCGGCTAGTGCAAATCGGCGACTGGGGGACGTTCCAGATCGAAAAAATAACAGCCGCGCCGATTGCGACTCGGAAGAGGAGGGGAGACGACGCCATGATGGACGAAGCTACCGTGGAGGAGATGCTTGAGGAACCGACCGAAGACCGCGACGACCTTGACGACCTCGCGCCAGAGGACGCTGCCATGGACCATGATGACGACATGGATGCTGCGACCACAGCAACAGCCATGAAAAAGGGCGTGCTATTGGACGACCACCACTACTTTTCGGACGATGACACGGTCCAGGAGCTGCAGATGCCCAAGAAAGTTCCCAAGGGTACATCAAAGTATCAGGCTGCATGGTTTCTGGACGACGAAGACATATCGGACTCCGGGTCCGACCTGGAAGACTATGAGATGCAGGACGTCGAGGGTGGCGAGGAAGAAGCACGGCCAGAAGATGGAATGGAAGGTCTCACTGGGGATGCCATGACGGAGGGGGGGCCATCAGAATATGCCAAGTCAGTGGCGTTCATTGAGCCCGATGAGGATGAGGATGCCATGGCGCTCGAAGAATACAGGAAGAGCAAGAGGACAGAAGCCGAGGACGACTTGGAATTCCCCGACGAAATCGAGCTTCATCCCAATGTGCTTGCCCGGGAACGCCTGGCCAAGTACAGAGGCTTAAAGAGCTTGAGGTCAAGCCCCTGGCTGGAGGACGAGGATCGCGCGTTTGAGCCGGAGGAGTGGCAGCGGCTGCTGCGGATCCCTGACTACCAAGCATCCCGAATCCGGGCAGCCCGCGAAGCTCTGGTGGGCGGCGTGGCCCCTGGAACACGCGTCCACGTCTATATCAAGGGGCTACCGGTAGCAATTCAAAAGTCGTACGACTCCAGCCGCCCGGTTACGCTTTTCTCGCTCCTGCGGCACGAGCACAAGAGGACGGCTGTCAACGTCCTGATCAACCTTAGCTCCGACTACCCTACTTCTATCAAGGCGAAGGAGGAGTTGATTGTTCAGTACGGACCGCGGAGGTTCGTCATCAACCCTCTCTTCTCTCAGGGAGGCACCACACCCAACGACGTCCACAAGTACTGCCGGTACTTGCACCCCGGGCAGTCTGCCGTGGCCACGTTTATGGGCCCCGTCACATGGGGCTCGGTGCCGGTTTTGTTCTTCAAACGAACCGTTCCAGGTGCCGAAACGAAAGCCGAGGATGAGGAAGGGCCCAGCCTGCCGCTGACGCTCGTTGCCACGGGAACAACGCTGCCGCCGTCGACTTCACGCGTCATTGCCAAGAGGGCAATCCTCACGGGACACCCATACCACATACACAAGAAGATTGTTACCATTCGGTACATGTTCTTCAACCGAGAGGACGTCGAGTGGTTCAAGGCGCTGCCGCTGTGGACCAAGAGGGGTCGCAGCGGTTACATCAAGGAGCCGCTGGGTACGCACGGGTATTTCAAGGCGACCTTTGACGGTCGAATCAACCCGCAGGACTCGATCGGCGTCAGCTTGTACAAACGGGTGTGGCCGCGCAACGCCCGGCCGCTGGAGGGACCCCTGCTCGACCCAGCGCTGGTGCAGGAAGCCCAAGGGGACGCGATGGATGCCGACGTTGAGTGAATGCACAATCCATAGACTGCCCGACAGGGCTATGACGGCGTTTGGGATCAATCATATATCACGACTGGTACAATTCTCTCTTTATTCCATGGATATTCTGTTCTAGACAGCCGGGGTCCCTCTTTACATATACATAGGTTTTCCTTCAAACCTCCCCACCAAGCCTCTCAAGCCTCCCCTAGTTCCTCCAACCCCTCTGTCGGCCGTGGCCCGCCGACAGCCCTCCTCTGCTCCTCGGCACCGCTCGCCCTCCACGCACTCAGAATCAGATTCACAATATGCTCCACCCCAACGCCCTTCTTGACCTGCGCAAACACGGTCGGCCCACCCTCACGCATCTTGCGCGCATCGCGCTCCATGACGCCCAAGTCGGCGCCCACCGCCTCGGCAAGATCGGTCTTGTTGACAACCAGCAAGTCGCTCTGCGTGATGCCCGGCCCGCCCTTTCGCGGCACCTTGTCGCCGCCGCTCACGTCGATGACGTAAATGATGTAGTCGGCCAGCTCGCGCGAGTAGTTAGCCGCCAGGTTGTCCCCGCCGGACTCGATCAGGAGCAGGTCCGTGTCGAAGGCGCGGTGCAGGTCCTCGAGCGCCGCCAGGTTGGCGCTGATGTCCTCGCGCACGGCCGCGTGCGGGCACCCGCCCGTCTCGATGGCGCGGATGCGCTGCGAAGGTAAGGCTTTGTGCCGCGTCAGGAACTCGGCGTCCTCGCGCGTGAAGATGTCGTTGGTTACGGCCGCGAGGGAGTGTGAGGTGCGCAGGGTGCGGGAGAGGGCTAACATGAGGGCTGTTTTGCCTGATCCTACGGGGCTGTTTTGTCGGGGAGAGAGGGAAGGGGGTGGTGGTTAGTGAGGGTTGCTGTGGTTTTGACAGGGGGGGGGGGCGGAGGGAAACCGTCCTACCCGCCTATGCCGATGGTGAAGGCCCGGTCGGCCCAGCTGCGGCCCTCGATCAGGGGCATCTCCCGGCCCAGGTAGGACCCGGGCCCGTCGAGGATCTCGTGGCTGTGGCCGTGCTCGGCCGCGTTGAAGGTGTCGTGCGAGTGCGAGTGCACGCCGTCGTGGGAGTGGTTTGCCATGGCGGTTGTTTATGGTTATTTGGTGTGACGGCCGGAATAGAGGTGAGATTTCGTGCAATACAAAGAACTGGAACGGCAAATTGAGAGCGGTGGAAGTTGTGTCGAAGCCGATCTTCTTTCCGAGCTTGAGCTTGCCATCCACACAGGAGGGGTAGGCTATTGGAGGGGTAGCTCTGAATGAGGGGCATGTTGGCGTGGGGGTCACATGTTATCAGATATCTGCACTAGCCCTGACCCTCACGTCACAGCTGTTCGAGCATGCTCCACTTCAAAATGCCGGAACAGGCAACTGCAGGAACGGAAACTCCATCTGATCCCTCCGAGGAAGGCGTGGGCCAGACATCAGTCGAACAATGTGCTTATTCGTCTTGGACTGGATATATCTTATGGTGCTGTGACGTCCACCCCGAAACTCCTCGTTCGCGGGGACACCGCTCGCCTGCAAACAGCTGTACCCAGGCCTCTTTATTAGTCTTGAGCAACCCAAGGATGCTGCAACGCCTCCCGCGCCGTGATCCTCCGCGAAGGGCCCATGCAGGTCACCGTGGAGATGAGATCCATGAACTTGGGCTCCACCTGCTGCCACCTCCCAAAGGGCAGCCTCGGGCTCCCCCTCGCTGAAGGTACAGAATAGTTCCTTGAGACGCTTGACAAACGGATTACCGTCTTCTCCGTGATAAACAATAAAGCCCTCGAAATCCTCCATCTCGCTGGCGAAGAAGGACAGGTGGCGCCGGAGTATTGACTCGGCCTGGTTCTCGGGGGGGCACGGTGACACTCGTCTGAATCAAAACACCATCCTCCCTGTCCACACAAAATATTGCCTGCAGTGCCTGCTGGTCAGCCAGCTACCTGTTGTAATCTGTTTTCTGCTCATCGAATAACTCACCACGATGGCGAAGGAGTAGACGTCGGATGGAGTGTTCTGGGTTCCCCTTACCCAAGCCTCCGGGCTTCTCCAGAAGTGATTCTCCGACAGGCGGTCTGCGAGGCCCTTGGCCTTGGGCGGGAGGATCACGGCAGCGTCCAGGTCGGTGACCTGGACATTGCACCATCCAAGGTCGCCATTGGACTGTTTGAAAGAATCCATCATGATGTTTGTGGATTTGATATCTGTGAGACCATGTCAGCAACAACATGTCACAATTCTGTAAGAGAGTGACGGACTGGTGTGGATGATGTTCTTGTCGTGCAGATCAGCGAGGCTGGCGAGAGCATCCCTTATCATGGCCTTTTTGGCGGCGGAAGAAAGAGCTGCGATGTTGATACGGAGCAGTCCCTTCTCGAGATGGGGGCAGACGAGAATATGCCGCTCGGGAATGCTATCTACGGTGCTGTTCGGACATGCGGAGAGTGCTCGACGTGCTTGTGTAGCGAAATAACATAGTCGAAGTCGCCGGTGATGATATCTTTGAGAATGAACTGCTTCCCATGGTGTCTACAATTGGGGAGGTACTTAGGATCTTCCGTCCTCTGGCCATGAATCCGGACAGATCTCAAGGAAAGGGGGTTATCCTACGTCGCGCGGTACACATACCAAATCCTTCCAGCGGCATGTCGCTCGGAAAGCACTTTGTCAACGACATAGCACTTGCCCAGCGATGACTTGAGCTGTAGTCCTGTGGGCAAAGGCTGCTGTGCGATGGCGGACACCCAGGTGCGGGTGGAGACAGAAGATATGCTGGCAAACCCATGGGAACAGTGTTGGGTTGTGAGGCGAATTCTGCGGGCGGGAAAGCGTGGCGCCGAAGAAGAACACAGGACTGGTCAAGTGAAAGAAGACGGCGACGAAGCGTCGGCGCAGATGATTGGACTGCGCGGGGTCCGACTGCAAAAAGACGCTGCGATTGTTTTGCTGCTGTGGGAAGCAGCAAGTGCTTCCCGCTCCCGTCCCGTTCCCCAGAAGGATCTTCCCATCTTGGCGGCCGGTCAGCTGGAAACCTTCTGCATGACTGCAGACGCGAAAGCCCAACAAAAACCTGCTCATTCCTGCTCCAGTGTCCTGGAATAAGCACAAAGCCTTCTTCTCTTTTCCGTTCCCGGGCTGCTTTTACGGTTGGAGCTGTCTCCTCCATCACCCTTTCAATTCCTTTTTATCCCTTCTGTTGCATCTCGGCCAGGCAGCTGGGAGGCAAAGCATCGCACGGACTCACTGTGGCATCATGAGAGGACACATTCGGTCTCAAGACATGACCAAAACAAAATGCTCATTGCGCGCATTTCTGTCGGAGGAGGGCCAGGGCGGCTCTATGCCAAGGACTTGCGAGGGTGTGGGAGACGGGTGTGCTGCGGTTGGCGTTGCGGGCCAGCTGCTTCCGTTACCGTTACTTCGGGTGATCCCTCGATGACAGCTTCAACGCTTGTGATCCCGATGGTTCTCGGGTTTTATGCTCTAGCATTGGACAATGCTGTTCAGGATGGAATAGAAATAGGACAAGGATGCCGTGGCTGTTCCTCATCTTCACTCAGTCCTCGACCTGCTTCACTTGCTTGTTTTCCAACGACCTCTTTGTTTACGCCCCCCTGAATAAAGAGTCACTCCCCTTTTTGTAAGCTAGACGGCGTTATTTAGCTGTCATCCACCGACGCCATGATGCTCCCAGTCCTTTCGAACCCTGGACTCCTCATAACGAGTCTCACGGTCGTCATGTCCCTCATCAGCCCAGCCGCTGGGGCCTCCGTCCACTCTCGCACCGAGGACAAGAGCTGCGGGTCCGGTATGTGTCTACCCACCAAAGCTTCCACTCAGGACAGCCACCAACACGGCCTAGACAAGTCCCCCCCGCGCCACTTTGGCTTCCTCCTCCCGCGAGCCTTCTCGGTCCTCGACGTCTTCGGCCCGCTCGAGGTCTTCCAGGCGCTCGCGCGGCAGACCAAGCTCGACCTCTCAATGCTCTCCCGCACCATGGACCCGGCCAAGACCGAGACGATCCACGCGGCCATGAACAGGTTCAACTCGTCCTTCTTCCCGCAGGTTGTTGTCACCCACACGTACGCCGACAAGCCGCCTATCGACGTGCTCGTTGTCCCCGGCGGCGCCGCGGCGCGGAGCCCGGACCTGGGTCCCGAGCTCGAGTACATTAGGAAGGCGTTCCCCAAGCTCAAGTATCTGATCACCATCTGCACCGGCGCCGGCATCGCCGCGCAATCAGGTGTCATGGACGGTTACAGGGCGACGACGAACAAACAAGCGTGGAAGCAGATGACGGCCATGGGGCCCAAGGTCAAGTGGTGAGTTGCCTTTCCATGCCTCAAGCCGTTGTAAATAACAGAGGCGGGTACTGACCCAGTTTCTCTTTCAGGGTCTCGCCCGCCCGCTGGGTCGAGGACGGCAAGGTCTGGAGTTCCTCAGGGGTATGTCCAGTTTTACATCCTCCCCTCGATTCTTAAGCACCATCTGGTCCGGTCTAATTCACTCAAAAAAACAGGTCACGGCTGGCATCGACCTGGCCCTTGAGTTCATCAGACAGAAATACGAGAACGGCACCGCCATTGCCGAGGCTATTTCCGGCGCCATCGAGCATACCCCGATCCTGGACTGGCGTGAGGACCCGTGGGCTGCCAAGTTCAACGTTACGCCGCAGAACTAGGTACCGGCACTTCTTGCTTGGTGATACCAGATAATCCGCAGATCAGGTGGTCGACAGGATCTAGAATTGGCGGCTAAATCTCGTGATGTCTTCGTAGAAACCGTAAATAAATCCGGACCGAGAATCAGTTTGATGATGGCAACAAGACCTAGCTGCTTCCATTGGCGCGGAGTTGGTTAAACAGGCTCTCGACTCGACGTGGAGTGTATTTAGGGTAGACAGCTGATCAGCTATGTACGTAAGCTAGGTTTTCCTCTGACCCAGCTGCGTAATGTGCAACACGAGCAGTGCTTATGTATGACCCCGTTGTTGGGTTGAGTGCCGATATGCCATGAGAATGGGCAAGACATGAAGAATCGAAAAATGGTGCCGCCAAGGCACAGAGCATAAGGTCCAATGGAGGAGATAAGTCGTATTCCCCACCGCGTCGCCGGCTTTCAACAACAGCCTCACAACAACCCCTTCGCTTCACCACCTCGCTTCACCACCTCCCTGACAACTTACACCCAATCCTCAGTTCCCTCACCCCCTCTCCTCCGCCTACATAATTCAACGCCACCCAACACCACCCAACACCAGCCCCTTTCCCAAGTATTATCCCGCCTTCTCAGACCCGACCGATCCCCTACCGTACAGATGCCCCATCACACTCCCACTCCCACCGCCTCCAGTCCCTCCTCCATGTCCACCCCGTCCCTCCCCAACCACAACAGCAGCAGCAGGAGTCCGGACCGACGACCCCAATCCGGTCCCGGTCCCCATATCCTCCCCAATCCTCAACAGCCCAAACACACCCTCCCACGAGTCAACATTGACATGCGCAAACCCCCTGCCCTCGTCCCGCTGCTCGCGATACCAGTCCAGCGTCGGCACAAACCGGTACCCCATGTGCGTCGTCGGCGCCGCGGCACTATCAGCGGCACTGCGCGCGCGCGCGAGGCGGGCTTCTTCGTACAGGCGATTGATGCAGCGCGATCGGGACGGGCCAAGGCCGGGCTGCTTGTTATTATTGTTGTGGCCGCGGGGCGGGTGGAAGATGATGCGCGTGTCTTTGTCGACTTCGTTGTCGTCTCGTTCTTCTGACATGGAGGCTGAGGAGGAAGGGGAAGGCAGGCGGGGGCCGCCGTTCTTGTAGTTTGGCTGGGAGTCGATGTCCATGCGGTCTTGCTCGACGAACAGCGGCGAGCCGGGTTTAACGGGAGCAGCGGTAGTCGGGGCTGTGGGGGTAATGGTTGGAGAAGACGAGCCGAGCTTGACCTTGCGGTATCCCTTGCTCTCCATTACGTGCTCTGGTGCCGGAAGGTAATTCCTGATGTCGGACAGCATCTCTTTGAGGAATAGCAAAGTGACGTCTAGAGAATACGGCGAGTCGCACTGCTGTGGCCAGTCCCACCCGCCAAACCACACTTGATCGAGGTATGTACCGTTGTTTTTTTCGTCTCCGTGGTCCCGAACGTGCTGAAGCAGCTGTCGCTGCATGAAGATGAGGTCTTTTTCAGCGGGAACTTGTCCATTGGGATATCGGGTTCTCGCTGCCGGGTCCCATATGATGACTTCGCACCGCCTATGGGGCTTCCGGTGCGGGTTGACCGGCCGGTAGACGGCAATCCAGGGATGCCGTTCGACCGGTTTCGGCGGCGGAGGCGGATCCCACTCCTTGTCAATGGTATAAAAGAAGCCAATGTATGTGTTGTATCCGCGCATGGGTCCATAAGGCTTTCCGTTAGGCTGACGACCCCCATCATCCTTATAGCATGCACCAAAGGGGTGAGTGAAGGAGAACCAGTCATGAATCCTGAGGAACCTCGCACTGAAATCCCCAAAGTGTTCCGCCATCGACAAGTCCACCCAGGAGACAGGAAACTTGTAGATCATCCATTGCGCCCTGAAGCCATCCAGGCCCGTAAGATGGTCAAGATACTCGGCAAAGCACTCGCTGGCTTCCCTATGAATGAGATCGCTCCGGAAAGCCCACGGACCCTGGCTAAGGCCGACCCGCATGGTTCCGTCCGCGGCCACTAGCATGTTTGTGTCGCTGCCGTTGGCGTCCGCCCCCGGCCCCTCGAGCTGGTCGTTCCTTTCCTGGAGGACTTCCAACACTGCATCAGGATCGTTGAGGGTAACATTTGAGTATTTTGGAATCCGAACAATCCGTTCTCCTTTCCTGGACCCGAATTGACTGATGATCTGACTCGAGCCGATGACATGGAACTTGCGAAACTGGTCTGCTCGCAGCGTCGCCCACCATCCAAACCAGTTAACCAAGCTTTGCTCATCGTTCGGGTCGATTGACGGGTCCGCATATACCAGCTGGCTGTTCTCCTCGTCATGCGCGAAGTGGCCGGCATTGGCCATCCGAGCAAGGTGCAGGTCCGCAGCGAATTCAGCCACCACGTACCGGCACCTGCAGTCCTCCCTGCTCAGCGCGCTGAGATTCTCTTGTATCTCGAGCTGCAACTCGCCCGGTGAATTCAGAAGGTCTTGCCGGGCTTGGTATCTCTCGTTGGCCAACTCCTTCAGGTATTCGTGGATGTTGTAGGCGGTGACGAGGCGGTACATAAAGTTCCCTTCCCATCTCCTAAACCACTCAAAAAACCGGAGCGAGCGCCGGGGCTCGGACACCAAGAAACTTGGAGTGAGAAAGATAGCCGTGCGGTATGGGAACAGCCGTGTAAGGCGAATGTCTCCCGGGGCCGCCGACGGCTCGGACACCGATATGGAGGGATACAAAGGCAGACCGTGAACGGGCTCTGAAATGCACCAATATTCGTCGTTCCTGCCGAGGAGGTACTTGGAAAGCTTCGGAAACCGACGCATGCTCCACGCCAGCGTCTCGTGGATGATGACGACTCCTGGAACTCCGTTGGGGGGGTCGACCCGAGCTCGAAAGGCATCCCAGCCTCCTGCTTGGTGGCTTGTGAAGATCTGGCATGTTGGATTACACGCCCGCAACCAGCAGAACAGAGCATGTCCAATTTCGCTTCTCGAATCTGGGATTGCCAGGAAGAAATTGTGGACAGGCGTCTTCGTGAACCCGGGGAGGAGCTTGTTGTAATCGAAATCAAAGAACCGCTTCATCATCAGCTCTCGCAGGGGCTTCTGATCTTCGTTCGCCGCTTTTGCCTTTGGATCCAATGAGGCAGCCACAGGGGGCAACAAGACGGCTGGGTTACTGACCTCCGGCGAGGAGAATATCAAAAATCGGAGGGGCGCCTCGAAAGGGGTTGCGGAATCTTGATCAGGCGAAAGTAGTTTCCATTCCTCGCATTTGGTGGAATACACCAGGACATTGTAGTCTGTCTCGGTGTAATAGAGACCAAGCATGCCAGTGGTCAAGTACTCTGCCAGTCGGTCCAGGGCCGGTCCAACTTCTTTGGAGACGATAGTTCCACTGGCCAATGCCTCTTTGATTAACCCTCCAATCTTGAGAGCGGCGGTCTTCGCGAAGCAGCTATGCGTGAATTGTAGCGTTCCTTTGGCAGCAAAATCGGCAAGCCATGCATGTTGGTGCGATGCTTCTCGAGGCAGACCATTGAAAGTCACCTCGACAGACGACTGGCCGACTATCAGCTTCTTGTCTAAGCTCTGGAATCCTTGAAAATACTGCGTCCACTGGTTCTGGGCCAAGTCGGGGTTCTGCTGAGCAGGAGGAGGGGGAGGTGATCGCAGGATTTCGGAGTGTCCTCGACTGAAAGGAACGTCAAGGTCCATTTGTTCCGGCTCTTGAACAAAGAGGGACTCGTCTTCATCCAAAATCCGGACAGACTTCTGAGGTGCAAACCCGACGGACTTCCGTTTCTTTGTCGGAGGTCCCGCATTTGGGTCTCTCAGAGCCGGCCTCGGGCGAAGGGGAACTGATGGTTGGGCTGGCCGAGATTCGCGTGTTGGAGACACCTCTTGTTGCGGAGAGAGCTGTGTAGGGCTCGGGACGAACGAGGCCCCTGAGCTTTGCCTGCGAATGGTTTGTCCGGTGCGAAGATCCTGCAGGGCCAACTGTGCAGGATCAGCGGGGATATCTTCCTTGCCTCGACTCCCCAGTTCCGCCTTTCTAATATATCGAAGTTTGTCAAAGTGTTTCGGTGCCTTGGTTGGGTCCGATATGACATCTTTGAGACTAGCGCGTTGCTTCCTCACCTTGCCACCAGTGAAGATATTCCCCGTTGGCTGTGCCATGCTCTTCTTCGCCGTGAGCGTCCTGCATGCTCTGAGACTTGATTTGGACAAGGGCCCAGCTGTTGATGCTGATTTTGGAATGGAAGTGGTAGGGCGCGTCTTGGATTCCGGGAGCGCGCCCGCAGCCGGTTTGCTCGGCCTTCTAGCCGTCCCCTGGTAGCCGGTGGTTTCAATGGTTCGTGGCTGCGCTGCTGTTTGCTTTCTCTTTGCGGATGAGGACGTGTTGGTTGGTAGTTCTTGGCGACCAGTGGCGCTTAGCTGCCTGTTGGCCTGATTCTGCGGCCGGGAGCTGGCAGGAACGGCTGCTGCGATTGGTGCCAGCTTGGGTTGGGAGCTCGATACTCCCTTAGAAGCCTTCTGTTGATTTGGGACTCGTGTCTTCTGTGAGGGCCCTGATTCCGCCGCCTCAACAACGTCTTCCTCGGAAGCTTCACCATTGCTTGAATCTTCTTGGTCAGCAAACGGCTCGGTTAAAGGCAAACCCAGCTTCTTCCGCTTCTTGTTTCGGCGGCGATGGCGCTCTGCCTTCGCCTTGGCTGCCTCATTCCGCGCGTCTATGAATCTTTGGACGTCAAAGCGCTCAAGTTCACCGGATTCTTGCTTGGCCTTGTCCTCCTCCCACATGGCTTTGAGCTCGCTCCCCAAATTTGACTCAGGTTCCCAAGTGCACTGATGGAGCGGGAAACCTGTCCACTCTATGAGGTAGTACATCTTGCCGTTTGATTCCTCCTCGGCCAGGATATTTTCCACCGCGTATTCTTGGTCGGGATCCTCATTGTCCACTGTGGATGTCAACGAGATGTTGTCATCGCTCTCTTCATCCGACGCGACAGCCTCGAGGTAGGCCTTGGGATGGAGCTTGAACATGGTGGATTTGTTACGCTGGAATGGTTGGGTTCAGTTTTGATGTCTTCGCAACCGAGGCTCATGCCGGTCTCGAGGTCCAGTGATGAAACGAGGCTTCACTGTCGTCGGCCTGAAGGGCAGACGTTTATTCGGTGACTAGCAGTCTGAAGCGACCGACTTCTGATCAAGGATCGCTCCTCGTGGCGGGTAAGTCATGAAACGTCTTGTCGGGACTTGGAGGTGGTCGGAGACGAGAGCATCGATGCTGCTTGGTTGAATCGATCCTCAACATGGATATTCCGAAAGAGACTGATGCATCTCTGATGACATGCCGACACCAGTTGCGCCCTAATCGATCCCGTGTGGTGACGGGATTCAGTCGTGGTGGATTGATCCAACAATCCTTGATGAGAAGCAGCTAATTTTTTTATTCAAGTTAGTCTGCGGTCCGGCTCAATCGGATACTCAAGGTCCTACTCACATCGGCTTGCATACAACACCACAGTAATCGAAATGCTAATTAGGCCGACATGTTTCCGGGCAACCTGAACTGAGAAGGTGGTGCGATGAATGTAAGTAGGTCGCCGCGGGTTGATTCGAAGGTTTCAAATCGACAAATGAAGGAAGGCGGATTCAACAAGATACTCGACTTTGTTCTACCGTTTTAGTACTGCTAGTAGTAAACCTAGAGGAACGAGTTACAGCCAATCAGGAAGCGCATCGGTCTTCTTGTAGAGACGGCATACACTGACGAGACTGACGAGACTGACTCCTGCTACAGAAATCTGGATGCAAGATTTAGTTCAGCCAGGAATCTCCACGCGTAGTAGAAATTACTGGTAGGTGCTAGCATCGGCTATCGGTCCCGTTTCCTGGTATTTTTGTCTTGACCGTAATACAAGTTTATCCGTATAGTACCCAAACTCGCTACCTGTTACCGATAGCTGATGTCGTCAGCACGTGACGTTTGCTTTCACAGGTAGAGGGCCCAGTCAAAGCCGCAGTGGCAGGAAAGTGGCGGGAGGCTTTGATTTTATTTTGGCCAGACAAACCAGTTCTCATCACTTCTTTGTCACACTCCTGCCCGGGCCTGAGGGCGCTGAAGTACGGATCCGGAGTAAGGTAACTTTACTTGTACCGTACGAAGGAGCCAACCCTTGCTCTCGGAATCAGAAGCAGAAGCACAAGGCCCTGGCACTGCCACTCGTTGTCAGCTGCAGCACCCTGAACCAACGACCCACCTTGCGGGTCGCACCGATCATCACTCTCCTGACTCTCCTTGCCATCAACCAGCCAGTATCAAGCACCAAGCATCTGCGTTCCCCGGCACTCTCCGAGACCGACCGACCTCATCCGGCACATAATTTCCCACCGCAGCCATGGCCAACGACGAGTACGATGTAAGAAAGACGATCTTGCTCCGCCAAGTTCGCTCTCGCTTGTGTCCCAAGGACAGTACGCTAACCCAGGGTTCTCGCATAGTTCCTATTCAAAGGTGCGCCTACCAGACCAGAGACGATTGCGCCGTTTCCTCCCTCCCCCCCGGTCGCACGAGCACTCGGCTAACCCATTTGCAATGCTTGCTAGTGGTGCTGATCGGAGACTCGGGCGTCGGAAAGTCCAATTTGCTCAGCCGGTTCACGCGCAATGAGTTCAACCTAGATTCCAAGTCGACCATTGGCGTCGAGTTCGCCACAAGGTCCATCCAGATCGACAACAAGACCATCAAGGCGCAGATTTGGGATACGGCGGGCCAGGAGCGGTACCGCGCCATCACCTCAGCCTACTACCGGGGCGCCGTTGGCGCCCTGCTCGTCTACGACATCAGCAAGAGCCTCTCGTTCGAGAACGTGACGCGGTGGCTGAAGGAGCTGCGGGACCATGCCGACAGCAACATCGTCATCATGCTCGTGGGCAATAAGACAGACCAGCGGCACTTGAGAGCCGTGCCGACAGAGGACGGCAAGAACTTTGCTAGTACGTTTCGTCTTCCTCCCCCCGTCGTCTAGGCCGGGTTGTTGGTTGGTGACGGAGGTAGTCTGGGGCTCGGCCAAGGAGGCGCAAGAGCTGACGAGTTTTCCAGGCGAGAATGGGCTCTCCTTCATCGAGACATCGGCCCTCGAGGCGACCAACGTCGACCTCGCTTTCCAGAACATCCTCACCTGTATGATCCCGCTGCTCTCCCTACCCCTCACTCCACCCATACTTGGCGCTGACTCCTGCCGCCCGCAGCCATCTACCAGATCGTGTCGAGCAAGAGCCTGGCGGAGGAAGGGGCAGACGTCGGCAAAAAGTTCGATCCGAGGGAAGGGAACAACATCTCGCTCAGCCAGGAGGGGACGAAGCAGGAGAAACAGGGCTGCTGTTGATTTCTGGCTCCGTCACGGTTGCATGGCGTCGCTTATGTCTGATACGAACTGGGAAATGCTTACGGCCATGGGGGACACGGATCTGCTACACCTCTTGGGATGTTTGGGGCGGTGAATACTTGAGGGGGGTTGTTCTAGTTTTCTCCCTTTTGTTATGCTTTCCCATGTGCTGGTCTGTTGGGATTTGATGGTTGTCTCGAACCATCCTTGATGCATGGGTTACGAGGCGGTTAGGCAGCTGAATGGACCCGGGGTTGATACCCGTTTCCAACGTACCGTGGGCAAGGCGACTCATTTCGCTAAGCCACCCACTCTCCTGCGGTGGGCGACCTGAACCCGACTAGCCCACGTGTAGGTCTAGCCGTGGGTTGACCGTTGGCCATGATGGATGAGACCTACCCTCAGTGGTGGTCTGGGCAAACAAGGCAAACGAGCCGATACTCGGCGGCTGCCTTCGCACCGACCTCGGTAGGTTCATGGGTCCTGACTATGACGGTGAACTCTTCATGGCCTGGCTTGTTATGACGAGTGCGCAGTCAGCATTCCCTTCCACTGGCAGCTCAACTCAAGTTAGTAGCGTGCTGGAGAGTTTCCAGGGGGTATACGAGTCAAACCCCTCTCCACCACGTTCGCATCAGCCACTAGATACTCGAGAGTGGGGACTCAAACTACAGTCTTCGAAGGAAATTGCAGGAATCGCCATATCGTGCGCCCAACTTCAAATTGAGGTACACTGATGCCATATGAGGAATTCACCTCAGGATGCTGAAGTTACACTCTTTTGTCTGAGGCGGAGTTCAATTCCTGTCCCGATGTCAGTGTCAATCCCAGTGCTCCAGATAACACAGCGTTTCTGCATCCTCGACCATGAATTCCTTGGACTCGGGGTGATGGAGTCATTTCCGCCACCGTGACCGTCACTTAGGTGGTACTGTCAGACAAGCAGTGCTGTAGACAATGAAAATGCATGTACTATTACAGAGAAGCAATGTGTAGCTAGATCCCCCACTCCGAGTCGCTTCTCCGTTGCTTCGTCGTCTCGATTCCATCATGAAACCGGTAAGAGATTCAGAAACGCTGGGTGGCAGGCAAACACTGCCGAATCCTTTGCGCCGCTCTAGTTAGTCTCATTGTCGATAACTTGCTCGCTGTGCTCAACGCCCTCTCCATTGAATTGGCCGCGCCCAAGCTGAACAATGGACAACCCAATTGTGGCTGCTACCTTTCTCAAAACAATCTGAGTAAGACTGTATGCCCTAACAAGGGGCGCAATGTAACTGTGTTTCTTTGTTGAACTCCGTTACAACAGTCCTGGCATCTTCCTCATTGCCTAGGCACTTTACCTGGTACTTAAAGTGCGCCAGCTTTTCGTCTATGATCACTCCCTCACAACTCACGAACCCCGTGCATCATCGCGACCCCAATAATTCACTATTCATTCGCACACAGATTCAAGTTATCAACATGGCTCCCTGTAAGACGCACCAGCCCTCGAAAAAACGACACAATAAGACGGAAACACTGTTTGTAACGACGCGAAGTCAAAGGCGACGGATAGTGTCCGTTACGAGGTGTACATCTGTTGTTGCAGTATCTGCGGCTGCTCACAAGAGTTTGTAAGTGACGAGCCTGACGTTTGTCCCGACTGCCAGGTGTACTGCGCTGAGAGCGGTTGGGAAATAGGGGACTTTACTGACTTGCTGCGAGATTCTACAACTTCAGCAGGGATTGACAAACCTTGGAGGACGAGAGCAATATTCAATATACAATACATCACCAGCCTTTCTTTGTTAAAGGTTGGTCCTAATCCTTGCGCCTACCTAACTACCTGATTTTACTACAATGTGTTCCAGCCTTTTCACCCCTAAAGACCCCTTCCTTTCGAACATCACTACATCTCTTGAGGCCTTGAGGTCGCCGCCTAATAAGACATCTAGATCTATTATGCCTGATACTTTATGCTTACTTCCTCATTCATCTAGACGCATTGCGTGAGAGCAGATTGATTGTTTTCACGCCAGCGGCCTTGTCACATATATAGTCCAGCCCCCACCGTTGACTCGAAGATGGGAGGGAGCCGAGGTCAGAACGCGAAGGGACTTTTATTCTGTTCTACAGGGAATCAGTCCCAAAGCTGCACGGCTAACGGGGAGGATCCTGGACTGGCTGATGGACTCGGGGAAATTGCCGATGTACGGTCTGGCCAGGAGGCTGGAGCTGGAGTTCGCAGTCTGATACCCTTTCCTTCGAAGGCCAAGAGGCCTTCCCACTTTGTATTAGCAGAATCGCACACTGATCGTTTCCTTGATTGTCGATATGGGTTTTTCACCCGGCCCACGGGCGCGGTTTTCCTGTATAGTAAGTTGTTGAAGGTCCGACACGCCCTAGGGCACAGCGGTGTAGGAATAATAATATATAGTCCAGCGCCTACAATTTTATGACACCTGTCCGTACCAGGCGAGCCCAGGCCAGCGGCCAGGGGAATACCTCCTCATGAAGAAAGTGATCTTTGTGATACAGACCGAGCACTTGGATGTCAAAAGCATCTGTCTGTACTACTTCGGACAATGGTACCTAGGAGACAGGGTGCCGGAGCTGAGGTTCGGGACAATCAATGCCTCGGATTAGGCGAAGGGCGGTAGGTTACTTGTAGGCAAAGAAGGAAAATACCTATTCTAGGGTCGTTGAACTCTTATGATTATGTTCTCCTACAGGTACTTCGCCTAACTTGTATGTGATCTGTGAACCAACCTGTGAGAGCCTCCTGATGTTGGAAAATGCCGACGATTAATGGCTGAATGGCCGAGAACAAATGTCCTGGTGGACGACGATGTTGACTTGCGGTATCCATATTGGTAGGGGCGAATCTTACATCTCGGCGCGCTGTCGGCGTCGGAATTAGATCACCAGCCTGTCTCGCTGCCCTCGCTAAAAGTCGACATCCTCTCCTCGACAAGGTCGAGGCGGCCCCTCGGTCCCTCCTGAGATGCGGTAAAGCTGGCGAGGATATCCCGCTGCTCCGGGACACTATAACGTCATAGTCCGCAATCTCGCATGGGCGCCTCTCAGACCATCGAGTTGGTCTTTTTCGGCGTTTTGTTTTCATGCTTCAGACTACGGATCCGTAGAGTCTCCGACAGTGGCACTGGCACATTGTGGAGACCTCAGTGAAGTGGAGTCCAGAAGATAAGATATCATTTATCAATGAGTGGGCCCGATCGCGCTGGGTTGAACTTTTTTTCCACCTGTCGTCTGGATCGCGACGGGTCGTCAACTGCAAGCGGCCCCGCCAAAAATACCAGATCCTCATCACATCAAGCCATACCAACAAGATGGCAGCAGTATACAAGTCATTATCCAAGAGCGCCTCCAAGGCCGACAAAGAAACAGATATCAATGGCACCGTGCAAAGAAAAAACAAGCAGAGGGTGCTTATTCTCTCTTCGAGAGGCGTCACCTACAGGTACGGATGGGCTCGGCTGCGTAGTCAACCTTCGTTGCTGATTGCGAGCGTTAGGCACCGGCATCTTCTCAATGACCTAGCAGCGATGCTTCCGCACGGCCGAAAAGACGTCAAGTTCGATTCCAAGTCCAAGCTCTACCAGCTGAACGAACTGGCCGAACTCTACAACTGCAACAACGTGCTGTTCTTCGAGGCGAGGAAAGGGAAAGACCTGTACATGTGGTTCAGCAAAGTGCCCAACGGGCCTACAGTCAAGTTTCACGCTCAAAACCGTGAGTCAGAGGAATCACCCTTCAAGATGGACGAGCTGCTGATCTAACGGGTCCGCAGTTCACACAATGGAAGAACTCCACTTCACAGGGAATTGTCTCAAAGGCTCACGGCCAATCCTCTCCTTCGACGGCGCCTTCGAGAGCGAACCACACCTCCGCGTCATCAAGGAGATATTCCTGCACATCTTCGGCGTCCCGCAGGGCGCGCGCAAGTCCAAACCCTTCATCGACCACGTCATGGGCTTTAGCGTGGCAGACGGCAAAATCTGGGTGCGCAATTACGAGATACGCGAGGTCGAGAAGGTCAAGAGTGCCGACGACAACAACAACGAGGACGACAAAAGCAAGAAGGGCAAGTCAAAGGGCAGCGGCGACAAGGACACGGACATCAGCCTGGTCGAGATCGGGCCCCGGTTCGTGCTCACGCCCATCATCATCCAGGAGGGCGCGTTCGGCGGGCCCATCATCTACGAGAACAAGCGGTTTATCTCGCCGAACCAGGTCCGGGCGGAGCTGCGGAAGGCAAAGGCCGGGCGGCACGTGGCGCGGATGGAGCAGCAGCGGGATACACTGGCTCGGAGGAGGAATCTTGGGCTGGAGAGCGGCGGCGCGAAGAAGAGGGATCCCACTGGATTAGATACCCGAGAGCTGTTTGCTTAGAGTTGGGGAAAGGGATTTGCGGGCGTTCTCTAGGCGTGGGGTTACTTTGATGGTGCGACTTGGTGCGCAGCAGCACCGGTGCTGGTATGATATGGTTACCAAGGTTTTGTTTGATATTGATAAGCCTTGAAATCTTCAGCAAGTCAATCAAGGCCTCGGTTTGTATGCTGCTGGGTTGTTCGAGGTCAATGCAGACGGGACATCATCAAAGCATCTCTTGAATGGTCCCTGGATCACTACCCCTCCTCTCAGTCAGTCCTGTTTTGAATGCACGGACCCCACAGTTGCCAGGTTGCCGCTGAAGCGGGGACGATGCGGTTGCGACTGTCCCGTCTCACGTCAACATCAGTCGCCTTTCTGTTTCCATCACGATTAGATTGAAACAGCACATCTCATGTTCAATTTTGTCGTCTACCAACACAAATGATAACGCCGTTGACTCACATTCGGCTTGCGCCGGATAGTGCAGCGGCAAGGTCAAACCAGATCTGCATGACCTGCAGCCGCAGCTTCAACTCCCTCGTCCTTGATAGCCCCAACGCCGGGGTTGACGCGGAGTAGGCCCTGGGATTTTATCTGGGTTTGGCAGTTACGCAACGTTTGCGGTGCTGTCTGCCTCATTTCCTTCCTTAAGTGTGTGGTCCTGTGTGTTTCTGGTTTCACAGGGCTGTGTTCTCTGCTTATATTTGTAAGTTCTCGGCTCCCAGATTAGATACTAAAGTATCCTTTGTTGACTTGATCGTTAGAGAGCTCACTTGACCTACCCGGGAGTCCTGACATGGCGCCGGCTAGCGTTTTCCAGGAAGAGATGGATGCTGCTGGTCAGCAGCAGACGCCTGCGGTCCCGGGCGTCCGTCTTCAAGGCCTGCCGGTTGAGATTCTTGTCGAGATTATGTCCAACCTCGACTTTGAATCCTTTGACAACATGCTGCTGGTCAGCCGGCGGCTCAACTCGGTTGTCGAAGCGCATTGGTCTTTTCTCCTCTGCGGTATCGTCGAGAGGGAGTTTACCCCTGTTCAAGATTTCTTTGACACGCTCTGGGGCGTGAATCTGCCGGAGATGATGACTTGTTCTCAGCTGTTGACGGTCTGCAGCACGCTGAATGGCTTCCAGCCGCTGCTGAACTTCTGCCGCGTCATCAAACGCTGGGAGATGGAGTTTCCCTCGCTCCGCTTCTCGATACTTCCCCTGCACAGCAGAAGTCTTTCTCCCAACGAGCTCTGCCGCCTGCGTCAGGGCTTGTACATATGGTGGAGATATGCTCGCTCGTTCCATGGCCCTGCCGTCGACGTGGATAACACGTCCGAGGCCCGGCGCACTTTCCTGCGGCGCTTCTCCACCACCCAACTGCACGAGGTGAACGACATGCGGCAGACCATCCGGTCGGCGGTTCAGCAGAAAATATGTCCTTCCGTTACGCTAGTTCGCGGATTCCGGGTAGGTGCGATTTCCATGCTGTGCCGGCGTTCATCATCTAACAACTGCGGTTTTGTAAATACAGGGAAAACTAGCTACCAAGGAAGAAGCTGCCCGCATCGGCTGGGGCGAGCTTAGCGAGAACAGCGACATTGTCGACACGGTGATGAAGCTTCACCCAGCCATCCTGCTTCATCTGCTCGTGTATCGACACCGGTATGCAACAAGAGCGAGCATGATCCGTTTCATCAGGCTTCGGCACCCAGGGTATGTAGTGCCGGTCATGGCAATGTTTATCTACCGCGAGGTTGGTTGACGCGAAGATTTTGCACAGGATCGAGGACGGGGACGTCGAGAGCTTCCGCGAGACCATCTCGGACGTCCTGTTTGAGCGCGGGCTCTCTCTTTTCTGGCCATTCCCGCGCCCCGGCTTTCCCGACACCTACGGCGGCGTTCTCGACCACGCAGATGCCGAGTCCGAGGAGCTGCGCGCCGCTTACAGTACTGATGGCGGCACGGGTGTGCATGACTATCCTCAGTGGCGGCGTGAGATGGACGCGTCCAGGGAGGTGAGGTCGGCCAAGCTTGAACCAGCTTTGTAAGTTAGGTAGTACAGAAAGGGTGAGCTGAGGGATGTCTGGCACTACTTGGACGGCCTTCCATGCCTTCAATCCTTATCTTTAAGCCAGTCCACCCTTGGTAGTGTAGTCCACATGTTCATGTGCCTAAACTGCCGCTTTGTCTCTTTGAAGAATCATTGTTTGATGCTTTGTCCTCCTTGAACCGATAAGGCAATTGGAACCAGAGCAGCCACAGTCTCAGGGCTAGGCAAGTTGGTACATCACTACCGAACTTCAAGCCAGGATTTCGGTGTGGAATTCCAGAATCAATGAATATAAAGTAGCTGTGCCTTTCCATATCGTGAGATTGTGTACCAGATGTTTTGATCGTCTCATTATCCACCTGAGCAAACATGAAAAAGGAAACGCTTGGGTCAAGTGTTGGGAGTATTTTGTAGTGGGGGTGCTGTAACTGCTGTGGCGGCGGGTTTGTTCCATATACCCAGCCACTCACTCTCCCTAAACATCAACCAAGATACCCAAGCAACCAGGTAATTGACCACTTGCTGCTTGTTGAGCATGTGCAGCCACAAGCTCTTGATTTGAAGATTTTACCTTCTAGGTAAGTCAATGCCTTCTCTTTGGAATCCATACAATGGTTCTGCACATGCGCGCACGGCGGAAGTGCAAGTCGCAAAGTCGCAACGCATCTGTGGTTCCGGTTCTGGACCACAGGCATCTCAGACAGAACAGCGCCCTGCATCTTTTACCTCAGCAGCTTATCCCCACAACTTCAGATTATTCATACCTTCTCCTTCTTTACTAGAAGGCTGGCCTGGCCGATCTGCTTTTTTCCATTTCTGACTCGCCCGTAACAGAGCTTCATGGTCGGAGAATCGGTCCTGGCCTCGGCTCTGAGCTGACCCTCGAGGTGTCCCAAGCACACTCCCTCCTGCGCCCCATTGCTAGAGAAGCTTTGCATAGGTTCCAGTTGACCAGCAGTCTCATTGCATCAAGACTCAAAGAGGGACTATTGCAGTATCAAGTGACGGTAAGTGCTTAACCTGTAATACCTTCTCTGTTGCCGACACTTCCTTCAGTGCCAGCCTCCTTCATCGATGATAGTAGCCCTTACATCTAGACTTTCGCAAAGTCTCCCGAGCCCTTAAACTGACGATCGTTTAGGTGAAAGGGCGCGCTCGCTAGAGACACCTCCGTGCCGCCAGGCAGCCCAGGATGGACGACAATGAGAAAGACGTTGTCATGGATGGTGAGGACCACCGTATGGCTGATGGCTCTTCCGCCGCCAACCGGTTTCTAGATCCAGCCAAGAATGGGGAGGGCTCTTCACGAGAGACATCCAACGGCCAGAGTGCAAATGCTGCAGCGCAAGCCGAGGACCAGGATTCTGACCCGACCGGCTACCCCGAGCGTTTACGGCGGCGAGGCCTACTCCCAACAGGGTGCTGCTACGATGACCGGATGAAGCTACATGCCAATGCGGACTTCGGTCCCAACCCCCATCATCCCGAGGACCCGTCCCGCATCGAATACATTATGAAGACGTTCAAGAAGCATGGTCTGGTCTTCACGGGTTCCGATGCCGACCTGATACGCATCATTCAATCCGAACCAACCAAGTACATGTGGCGGATTCCGGCTCGGGAAGCGACAAGGGAGGAAATCTGCATTGTTCACCATCCGGAGCACTTTTTATGGGTCGAGGCTCTGTCCAGGATGACAACACAAGAGCTCCGTGAACTTTCGACTCGGATGGACCAGGGCAGGGACTCGCTGTACGTCGGCAGCATGACATACGAGGCCTCGCTCATCTCAGCCGGCGGCGCCATTGAGACCTGCAAGAGCGTAGTTGTCGGTAATGTCAAGAACGCCTTCGCAGTTATCCGGCCGCCGGGCCACCACGCAGAGTACAAGGCGGCCATGGGCTTCTGCCTGTTCAACAACGTCCCTATTGCGGCGAAGATCTGCCAGGCCGACTATCCCGAGCTGTGCCGCAAGATCCTCATCCTGGACTGGGACGTCCACCACGGCAACGGCATACAAAACATGTTTTACGACGACCCCAACATCCTCTACATCTCGCTCCACGTCTACCGCAACGGCGAGTTCTACCCGGGAAAACCCGACAGTCCATTTACTCCTGACGGCGGGATTGAGCACTGCGGCGCGGGGCCTGGCCTGGGCAAGAACGTCAACATCGGCTGGCATGACCAAGGGATGGGCGACGGCGAGTACATGGCAGCGTTCCAGAAGATCGTCATGCCCATCGCCCACGAGTTCAACCCGGACCTGGTCATCATCTCGGCGGGGTTCGACGCCGCCGCGGGCGACGAACTGGGCGGGTGCTTCGTCACGCCCGCCTGCTACGCCCACATGACCCACATGCTCATGTCGCTCGCCGGCGGTAAGGTGGCCGTGTGTCTGGAGGGCGGGTACGACCTCGAGGCCATCTCCAAGTCGGCGCTGGCGGTCGCCCAGACGCTGATGGGCGAGCCGCCCCCGAAGATGGAGATTCCCCGCATCAGCAGAGAGGCGGCCAAGGTGCTCGCCAAGGTACAGGCGTACCAGGCGCCGTACTGGGAGTGCATGCGCCCTGGGATAGTGGACGTGCAGGACATGCAGGCGCAGGAGTCGTCGCGTCTACACGACGTCGTGCGCCGCGCACAGCGACAGGTCCTGTCCGAGAAGCACGGTATGCTTTCGCTGTACATCCAGCGGCCCACGCTCTTCAAATCGTTCGAGAACCAGGTGCTGGTTACCAGGGGGATTCAGAACGCCCGGAAAATTTTGTTGATCGTGCATGACCCGTCAGTGCTAAGTACCTCGCGGATGGGGTTCGGTATGCCTGGCTGACCTTTCCTGCCCAAGACCGGAATTGCATGCGCAGCCCGACCCGTTAGACAACTCGATAGAACCCCACAATGCCTGGGTGGTAAGCGCACTGCTCCCGCCAACAGCGCAAAATGGCAGCTAACAGGGAGCAGACGGATGGCGTCACGCGGTATATTGACTGGGCCGTTGAGAAGGGCTTCGGGGTCATCGACGTAAACGTCCCTCATTATATTACGCACCCGGAGGTCTGTACAATACTTACAGTTACTCGGAACCACATTGTTTACACCGCAGGGCAGGACACTGACGCCTTCACCCCGCGAGCCGACGAGCGTACGCTGCAAGCCCAGGTCCAAGAACTAATGTGCTATCTCTGGGACAACTACCTGCAGCTCTACGAATCGGCCGAGGACATCTTCCTCATGGGCGTAGGCAACGCCTACCTGGGCATCAAGGTCCTGCTCATCAACCGACGTACGCACTCATCCCTCCCTTTTCACCCTCCAGTCATCTACTAACCCTTGCTACTCCAAAACAGTCGACGTCAGAACGCGCGTGTCAGGCGTCGTCAACTTCGTCAACGGCAGCCTGCGGCCCGTCAAGTCGGACGCCGACGCCGACCTCTCGTCGTGGTACAAGGAGCACTCGCAGGTCTACGTCGCCAACGACCACGCCTGCTGGTCCGACCCGGACCTGACGCGCAAAGTCATGAAGCGCCGTTTTGGCAACGTCATCCGCGCCCCTGTCAACGGGCTCACGCCCATGATGGCCGAGCACTTTGCCGACGTGCAGCGATTTATCCTGGAGAGGCTGGGCGAGGGCGAGGGCGAGGGCGAGGAGGGGATGGTGATGATGACGGAGCGTGGCGTTGGGGCTGGGGCTGGGGCTGGGGCTGGGGGGGGATGGCACTGAGGATGAGGCGCGAATGCGGTAGACGGAAATAGGGTTGTGGGGGCGGGGGTAGCTAAGGTAAGGAAAGGGTGTTAGAGGGGAGGGGTGGACTGGGGGTTTGTGATTTCCGTTGGTTGCTTTGTTTCGGGGGACGATCATAGAGAGGTGAATTAGGCTGAGAAAGGGGTAGCTTAGAGCATTGGAGCTAGCTGTATATCATTAAAGGAGTTCTGCGACGGAAGTAAAGGCTCTATTATGAGCTGGTGCATCGACCCCAACCCTTGAGACACAAACCCAGGACCACGGTACGTGTAGAATACGCACGTGATAGTGGGTCCATTAATATGCCGGAGAGCTAACATTAACTTACGTTAGCGCGCCGGTCGCGTTTGTGACGCAGAACGCCAACCAAAAAGTTTCGAGCAATCTTCAACCTCGTCTCGGATGCAGCCTCTCTGCCGAAATGAGCAAGCATATTTCGATTGTTTAACGACAACCCGTCAACACCGAGTTGAGTCATGGATCGAGGTCGAAGGTTAGTAATACTACTCCCTTAGCCTCAAATGAGGTTGTTCTTTTTTTCTTCCCTTTTTTAACATACAATGCCAATGAAATGCGAGAGTCGGAAGGGAGGAGGGCGAACGGAGAAGGACGGCCAGGTTTGCGTCTTACCCACAGCGTTATGCACTTACGGACATCGGCGTCACGGGGCCGCTTCAATCATCGGAAGAAGGACGACAGCTATGCATCCAGAGCCGCCAAGGTTTCCACAAGAACGCCTCATTTGATGGCCGAATCTCGCTATTCAGTCCGGTGCCCGCACGACATGGTTGTTCCTCGCTCTGAAATGGCCGCGCTGATGCTCAGTAGCTCGCCCGCTCCTGTCCGCTTTTCGGCCATAGGCACGTCCCCAACCTTCGGGCACGAGCTTCATTACCATTGTTTTTGCCGAGCAGACCAGACGCCGTTTTTTCATATCCGTTCATTGTATTTGCCAGTCCGGTTGTGTCACGTTTACTGATGGACCCTGCAGCAGGTACGAGGACGGAGAAGTCCGGCGATTTGGCGCCGGTGAAAGCTATCGGCCTTTCAACCGCGACCGATCGCCGCGTGGCATCCGCAGCCCTTTACGAGACCGCCCGCGAAGCCCGCCGCCCGTAGCCAGTGACAGCTACGTGCCCGCCAGGTCTCCCCGACGGCGATCGCGTAGCGCCGACCGCTTCAGGCGAGAGAGATCCAGGGACAGAGAAGGGGGCGAACGATGGCGACGCAGCCGCAGCAGGGTTCGAAGCCCCATTCGGCGCCTCTCGCCCAGACGAAGCCCCATCCGACGGACGCCTCCTCGGTTTATCTCCCCCCGGAGAGACGATCGGGGTATCGACAGGAGAGACGACAGAAGAGATGACCGGCGAGATGATAGGAGGGACGACAGGAGGGACGACCGGAGAGATGACCGGGACGAGCGACCGAGGTCTCCTTTGCGCCGGGAGTTAGAAATTCGGGGTTTCAGGCGGAGGTCGCGATCTCCGTTTGAGAGAGACAGACTGCCGATCCGTCGGGAGAGATCGCCTCCCCGGCGCTCACCACCACCCGGGCCACGCGGGGGAGTCATGTACCGGCCTCGCTCTCGAAGCCCAGATCGACGGGACCGTGATGATCGTTATGTGGGACCGTCATATCGCCGGCCATCACCGCCTCCCATGCGGGACTCGGTTCAAATTTCGGTACTACCTTCACGTTCCACTTCGGGCAGATCATCACCCCGGCCGACGTCTGTTCGTCGGGACGACCGATCTTTACCCCAGTCCCCGGCACGGTCTCACATGAGTGCTGCCACCCCTACCACTTCGATTCCGCCGGTTCGTGACACCCCAAAGCCCCCGGCACCGCCTCCTCAGCCCGCCCAACCAGCTCTGGCCAGCCAGCTTACGCCGAAGGCGCCGGCAACAAATGCCGTTTCGACTCCGGTCAAATCTCCTCCAAGAGGCCCCGCCGCGCTAAGAGCCCTGCCAACGGGGCCCGCCCTAGCTCGGAGCTTCACGTCACCCGCTGTGCCACAAGCCGCCTCGTCACCGCGGCATCCGCCTCAGGGTCCTAGTGGAGCGTCTCGTCCCGGCGCCACAAGTCCAGGGATACCACCTGCAGGCCCTCGCGGCTATGTCCCCCCACCTCGCGGAGCCAGCTATTCAACGCGCGGCGGCGGCAGAGGTAGCTGGTCAGCCGGACCAGCCCGCCATTCCATATCCGGCGGTAGCACCCAAACGGTCTCATCCACCGTTCCTCCGTCTGGTCCTAGCGGCACCACCAGCGGCGGTATCCCGACTGGTCCCAGGGCGCAATCGACCTCGTCGGCCTCGGGCTCCCCTTCAGTCGCGTCCAAACCGTTCAACCCGCCCACTGGTCCGTCCGGCGGCGGCGGCGGGCACATGACACCACACAGCGGCCACGGCGGTCATCACGGCCGCCCGACGCTGGCGCAGAGCTTGATAAATACCATGCCGCCCATCCTTCCCGGCGGCAAGATTGACCCGTCGGCGCTGCCCGTCGAGATGGATCCGCACCATCGCAAGATGAGGGAGGAGGAGGAGAGGTTGAGGGAGGAGTTGAGGGTGAAGCAGGAGAAGTTGAGGAAGAGCTTGAGGATGTGGGATAAGCTTGAGAGGGAGAGTAAGGGGTTTGAGCTCAAGAGTGATTTGAGCGAGAGGAGTCTGAAGAATATTGCCGGGGAGGGGTTGGGCGGGGCTGCGTTTTAGGGAAATATCCTCTAGAGAGAGAGCGAATAGGGGGAGGGGAATGGATGAGGGTTTGGTTGGCGAGGCTGGTTTACCTTGGCTTGGTTGATGATGCATGTTCGAATATTGTTGGGTTGGAGATCGGTATGCGCAGGGTCAGGGGTGGTGGGTTGAACTGGACTTGTCTGGTCTGGTCGGGTTTGGTATATATCAATTTCTTTCTCTAGCTGATCATTTCAATCAGTTCAAGCGAAACTTGCGCAGGATGATCCATAGGTTCGAGAGATCTCGACTGAGACTGCCTGACGGCGAAACGACAATTTGGGGTTGGTGCGTCGATAAGGGGGATACATCAGGCGAGCAGGCAGTCAATTAAGTAAATCGTCAGGGAGCTGCTCTGTATGTATTTATTGTGTGTGTGGGTGTGTGTATGTGTGGGTGTGTGTATGTGTGGGTGTGTGTATGTGTGGGTGTGTGTATGTGTGGGTGTGTGTATGTGTGGGTGTGTGGGTGTGTGGGTGTGTGTATGTGTGGGTGTGTGTATGTGTGGGTGTGTGTATGTGTGTGTGTGTGTGTGTTTCTGTATATTTGATCTGGTGTCGAACATTATGGGACACACACACACCCACACCCACCCACACCTACACACGCACACACACACACTCACATCGTGGGTGGGCGGCATTGGTGGTATAGTAATGACGACTTATGTAGATGCGGATGGTGTAAGGTATAGACAATTCAAGTAGCCCGTAACTACCATGACATTCACAGGGGATTATTTCCAACCAACTCTCCCAGTACAAGCTCGCTCTTGCCGGAGCAAATGGTGAGGCGCCTCTCCCCGTGATCAGCCAATTAGTGAGACAACAGTGAGACACCGCCCCTAGAGCAACGCACCGAAGCTCCCCAAATTACACAATAATAACTTTGATTCACAGTGAGAGACAATATAATATTGATGATCATGGCCACGTTGATGGGATGGGACTGGATTGGATATGTATTCGATACAACTGCAGCACTTTAGACATAGAAACGACAAACAGTCAGCATCTAGTCATGGAGGCGGCCGAGGCACCATAATCAGGGAAGCACGGAATTCATCGGCTCTCAAAGTAACAGTGTCATTGATGTTGGGACGTTCCAGCTGACAGTCGCACCACACCGTTCTCGAGTCCAATGCCAAACGAGACAATAAACATTCGTCACACAATACGCACGGGACTAAACTCTGATTACCTGGGACTTCTAGATTGTGCGATGTGGCTACCTAACTGCATTGGTTTTTTTCCTACACGCATATGCTAGGAAAAGAGAGCGGATGGCGCTCAGCTACAGCCGCGGAGCGCAACCAAGCTATTTGCCGGCATCAACCTTGGCAACATAGGCCAGGAGATCCAGGACACGGCGGGAGTAGCCCCACTCGTTGTCGTACCAGCTGACAAGCTTGACGAAGTTATTGTTGAGCGAGATACCGGCCTTGGCATCAAAGATGGACGAGTTGGGGTTGCCGTTGAGGTCGCTCGAGACGATCTCGTCCTCGGTGTAGGCGAGGATGCCTAGGGATGTTTGTTAGCATATGTTATTGCGAGATGACGGAAGTGCAAACTCACCCTTGAGAGGACCCTCAGCAGCCTCCTTGATGGCAGCCTTGATCTCCTCGTAGGTAGCCCCCTTCTCCAGGCGGCAGGTCAGGTCAACAACCGAGACGTTAGGGGTGGGCACACGGAAGGCCATGCCGGTGAGCTTGCCGTTGAGCTCGGGGATGACCTTTCCGACGGCCTTGGCGGCGCCGGTGCTGCTGGGGATGATGTTCTGGGCCGCAGTGCGGCCACCGCGCCAGTCCTTGGCCGAGGGGCCGTCGACCGTCTTCTGGGTGGCGGTGTACGAGTGGACCGTGGTCATGAGACCCTCGACGATGCCGAACTTGTCGTTGACAACCTTGGCAAGGGGAGCCAGGCAGTTGGTGGTGCACGAGGCGTTGGAGATGACAGGGGCGCTGCCATCGTACTTGGTCTCGTTGACACCCATCACGTACATGGGGGCATCGGCCGAGGGGGCAGAGATGATGACGCGCTTAGCGCCGCCCTGGAGATGAGCCTTGGCCTTCTCGGTGGTGGTGAAGACACCGGTCGACTCAACGATGTACTCGGCACCGGTCTCCCTCCAGGGGATGTTGGCGGGATCGCGCTCAGTGTAGAACTTGACCTTCTTGCCATTGACAATGAGGTCGTTGCCCTCAACGGCGATGGTGCCGTTGAAGACGCCGTGGGTGGTGTCATACTTGAGCATGTACTCCTGCAGGACGAGGCGCCGTCAGTCTCGATTCGTGCGTAGTGGTCAATTGCCATCCCCACAATGCAGATAGCAACTTACAGCGTACTTGGGCTCAATGAAGGGGTCGTTGACAGCAACGATCTCAACATCCGAGTGCTCAACGGCATTGCGGAAGACGATGCGGCCAATACGGCCGAAACCGTTGATGCCGACCTTGACGACCATTTTGTCTGTGGCAGAGGTGAGTGAGCTTCTGGGGCAATCGAGGGGTAGCTCGGGCGCGCGGGGTATGCAGAGTCGTGGTGCTTGATGGGATGACGGAGAGATTGAGATGGACAAAATCCGGGGGGGGAGGAAAGATTTTCAAGTGTACAGGCTGCAGGCCTAGTTTGCGGCGTGTCCGGAACCGGGCAGCAATTCGTAAATATGGGATTTCTGTTGATCGCGGCAGGTCCGATACAGGCGCGACGGGACAGGTGCGGGGTTCGTGGGGGAGCTCATTGATAGCTTACCTGAGGTGATGAAGCGAGTTTGCTGTTGACTGAAAGGCTGGAGGTATTGTTTCAAAGGACAGATTGCCCAGAAAAGATATCTACGGCGTGTTTGAGTCAACGTGGGATGTGGGGAGGAAGAAAAGAGTCGTCGTGGTGGCATGAGCGACAATAAAAATGGTTGAGCCCCTCGCTGAGGTGGGGTGCTCTTTTGCTAAAGCGCAGTTGCATCACAGACTGCATTGAGGTGGGGCAGCGTTGCACAGCTTCAAGGTTCTGCTAGTGAGCGACTTTTCTCCTCTGCCTGTTTGGTATAACCTAAAGCCAATGGCAATGCAGCACATATTCTTACTTCTGTCAATGAAACCACGGCACGAGGTATTTCCATAGCTTCACTGTCCGCCACCTTCGCCACAGTCCCGGGAGCTCCGTCACCGGGCAACTCCCCGGCCGGAGGTACCGGTTTAAGCGAGCGATTGTCTTCGATGACTCCTCGAGCTTATGTCCGAATGGCTCGGTCCGTTTACACAATTCGTGTAAATAATGAATCGTGGCCTGTTTCGGACGGCTGCTTTGAAATGCCGCACCATCACCACCCAGGAGGCTACCATCGCCACCAGTTCCGAGCTCGCTATGGCAGCGATAATGACAGAAGAACACGCCAAACGGTTGGTTAGTTGCTTAACTTCGGCAATGGCTCCCAGACCAGGCGGTCGGATCACGAAATTCAAGACCGGTAAGAAACGGACGGATACGGCAAAATGGGCCTCATGCACGATAATTCTCGGTCTAAGGTCCAACAGACTGTCGCCGACGTTCCTTGCTTCTCCGCGACCCCGCCATGTCCCGAAGCTGAAGCGGAAAGCCAGACGGAGACTTCGAGGTCGTGTGGCTTATATCTGGGGTAAGAAGTCGTTCATCCCTGTTGGGGTTCTGGCAAGATGGAAGCCCCGAAAACGGGAGACATATACGGATACAGCAGAGGGGCTTTTTCGCTTTTGTCGTCCGATCCGACAACCCGGTAACCAGCCCGCCCAAAGTCTGCCCGTCACGCCACCCGTCCGATATCAGTCATTCGAACCAAATACGGGCTTTGCGGCACGTGTTTGGCGGGCATGCCGAGCGGTCTGTTGGAGACATCGGCCCACGGCCCGTCTCGAGGTTCGTGATGTTTGGTGATTTAAAGCACAGTACACTTTTATGCTCGCCAAGCCTCGCTGATTGATCCACCGCGATTACCCCTCCATGGGATGTTCACTGAGCTCTGAAGCTACCCATGCATCTGTTGATGAATGTGCCGGGTTTCAGTTCAGCTATGCTTTGTCATCTCAATACAATTCTGATATGCATTGATGAGTGGCTTAACTCAAACCCATACCTTGGAAGCTTTTATGCCCAGATCATGGTCGAGTGGCACGCTGGTTCCAGCATCCAGATGATGCTCTGGGGCCCAGGACCAAGTCGACGTCACAGATGAGCCCACTTTAACCCCTGTTTGAGTCCCACTTGCTTATTCCCAACCAAAAAGCTCTAGTGGGTCCCTAGACTCATGTTCCATTCGGTTGGTAAATAGGTGGGTGGCCTGTGCGCCCACTTGTTTTTCTCGCGTCGCAGACGCGAATCTGTATACTCTCCCTCTTCTTTTCCTTAGCTCTCGATTAGCAGAATTGAGTCGGTATTTGCGGTTGCCCCAGTGCCTCGTGTTGGATTTGGCAGGTGGTCAGGGAGGGCAGTTCAGGGTGTGGCAAATGGCTTGGCACCAGGATTCTCAGGATCAGGAAATGGCCTGCAACTGTTTTGTTGGAAAGAGACACCAAGATCATCATCAATTGAGTGGTTCCTCATTTTTTACTACGGTACGGTAAATCGTGACTCTTGGCTTTCCAACACCCTCGCCTTGATGCCACTCGTCTCTCATAAGGAATTTAGAATACTTGCTAAGATATTACTACTAGAGCTTATTTAAATAATATATCACAATATTTTCTTACTTCATTAATTATAGAGATATTTTATAACGTTAGTTTTTTTACTCAACAATAGGCAGCTGATGTGACGGGCACCACGGCAAGGTCTGGTCAGCCTGCACATACATATGATATTGCACGAAGAGAGCAAGACTACCTATCTAGCGTGTGGGCATGCGACCATGTCTTATGCAGATGCTGGCCCAGTGCAGGTTCGGTGCAGAGGTCCGGGACATGGCATATACATGACGTACGCATACGTGGCCTGCGTGGCCAGATCCATTGCTCGGATCCGTGGCCCGGATACAGGAACAGGAATCCTGTGACAG